AGAAGACGTACTCCAATCAATACTAATTTGTTGTTGTTACAAATTGAAATAGTATTGAGCTCTTTTCTAGATACGAAGAAATGCAAAATTTGGTTATATACAATGAATGATTAACCATTTGTTGACTGCATCATAAATCAGCTTGAATTAGCCTTCTAATAACCTAATGATCTACCAAACCTCCCTTTTAGCTGAACCAAATTTAAATGGTGTCCCGTGACAGTAGAGTTTGTGATCAATATATTGGTTTCAACAATGCAATGACTATATTTCTCAAAAAAACTTTTAAGTGTGTTCGTAGTTTATTATCAAAGGTAAACAAAGTTCATCTGTGTTCCTCTCTGCAAATCAATTGTAGGCCCAAAAAAATAAATAAATAACTCTTAGGACATTTTTTCCACCTTACATACTAAAATAAAAAGTCGCATTTTGGACATCAAGAAAATATTCCTGTTAAATTTATCAAAAGAAATCAAATAACAATACATGTATATACAACTCATGATGTATGAGAGTGATGCCGACCTTACAAGATAGAATCTAATTTTTGAAATTGTCAAATAAAAATACTCAAAGATCGCACATGCATGTGAGATCCTCTCAAATGTTAAAGTTTGTAGACAGAGAACTAATATCATGTGATTTGTTTGAAAGACTGAAATTCACGAAGGATGGTTTTGCTTCCAACAATGCATTCTTTCCCATTGATGGAATTCTCAAATGAACACATATTCACCAAAGCCAACAAGCACACATTTCATATATAACTACTATTCAACCAATGAATTATATATATATATATATATAAAGGGTCGTTTGTGGATCCAACATCAAAGATGGGATGGGCCACAACCTATATTTAGATAATACAAAAACAAATCATTAATCATGTTATGATGAATTGATGTAACAAGGCATTATTCACGTTGTCCTTCTCATTTAAGGATGTAATGAGTGGCCAAGGTTACTATACCTTACAAAAGATGGGGGTCCATGGCCATGAGTGGTTGTGGGTCATTTTAATGGCAAACCATTGGCCATGCATGTGCCAATTAAGGTTATCAATTTTAAGGGTAACCTATATGATTCTTTTGGTCTCTAGCCTTCATATGCTATGGGTTATTGGCAAATACAGTTCTTGGCTTGATAATGACTTCTATATCCCAACTCAAACTGTTGTGATCATGAATTGATCGAATTCCTTTCAACAAGCCCATCATTTGCGCGCGTGTATGTGTATTACACTATCTTCAATCAGTGATGGGTTGTATTTCACACGTGGGTTGCACGCTCCAGCAACAGAGCCCTTAAGTTTTAGGGCATGTGGGCTCTGGAAGGGCACTTTGTCTTCCTTTTATTGGATTCGAATGGATATATTTGTCCACGATCTTTACACATTCAATTCTAAAAGACCCTCTCTTGCTCTCTTTGTAGATTACCATGGATGACATTTTAACATTGTGATACAGTTTGTTACCCTTACTCAAATTTTGCCGAACTTTCTTGTTTCATCTTTTGGTACCTTAATAATATCTTGCTTTTGGGTTAAAAAAATTTGAAATGAATTTTGACTTTGGTAAATAAAATTTTATTTTAAAGATATGTGAATTCATCGCCACTTGAGAGATTGATTAAAAGTTTAGGTGTTACTTGATTTGTAACCATGAGAATAGTTTGCTGAAAACATAAAACTGAAAATAGAAAACTGTATAAAAAACTCTCTTGATTCAGTTTTATAAAAATTATTTTCAAAAAACTCAGTTATAAAAAAGTTTGTTTTTAGAGAATTGTCTATTAATGTTCTCTGAAAACTATTTTCAATTCTCTAAATTCTTGAGAACTATTTTCAGAATTACGAACCAAACAAACCCTAATTTATAATTGTTCTTTGGGTTGCCTCCCCTCCCAGTGTTCAAGTTATAGGGCACAAAATCCCTTGCTAGCTAGATATATTCTTGTTATGTTACATTTCCAAAACTATATGTATTTGTATATGTGTGTGTGTGTGTATATATATATATATATATATATGAGGTCAATTTGATAAACTGTATATTGTAATTCCCTTATGTAAAACGGGAGTTTATAAATTTGGAAGAATGAACCAGCTAGATCTACTACAAAATAGTTAATGTTATCCATTACATGAGGTCATGTGACAATGTGACCTGACCTATGAGAAAATATAATCAAGTTCTCTTTTAAATATTACATCACAAGCAAGAAAATATAATTGTATATCCGTACATAGGTTATATTTTAAATTTAAATAAACCTAGCTAGTGCGAACTCAGTGGGCAATATCTCAACCCTACTAACCAAGAAACTGTCGTAGGATTTGATCTCATGCATGCTGTTTATTCCAAAATAATTGAAGGTTTCCCACCAAAAACAAAAACTAGCCTAATACGGTAATACCTAGGTGGTTTAAATAATATACATGCGTGGTTTTAACACGGAGTTGGATTTTATTAAAGAGAAAAGGTAGAAAAGAAAAAACGCAAAATATATAGAAAAAAATAAAAAATACGGTGCTTCCTCTTTCGTCACACAAACCGGAAACTAAAAACTCTTTCTCTTATCCATTACCAAAATCCTAAATCTGAATACATAGCAAAGTATAAATGAGTAAAAAAGATTACTGAAGTACTAAATTGTAATACATAGTAAAATATGGATTAATGAAAATTTCAACACTAGTAATTAAATGTGTGTATTTTGGTTAAAATTAGTAGTTAAGGAAGTTTTGACTTACTCTTAAAATGATTATAGTTTTATGAATTTTTACTTTGTGAATAAAAAAAAAAAAAACTTTTATTAGTAGAGTTGTCAAAAATTTGCTTGGTGACACATTATAATAAGTATTTTTCATAATTAATTATTTTTTAATTTATTTTTTAACAATATATTTTTAAACATTTCTATTGCTAATTTTACAATAATAAATTTATTAAGAAATATGTATAATTATCTTTATAAAAAATAAAAATGACATAATTGACTAATAAAAAAAAGTTACCTAAAAATATTCAACCTCCACTCATACGCAGTTTTAAAAGCTCTAAATCCTAACTTTATTCAAAAGCTCTAAGTTAAATTTGGTAACCATTAAAAGCGTTTTTCATAGTTACCAGATACATCTAAATGTAATTTTTCAAAATAAAAGTGCTAAAATATAGAATACAAGAAGCATTCTTCGATATGTGATTATTTTCTTTTGTTCTCTCCCTCCAATTTTGGAGAGTTTTTAATTTTTTTTTTCCTTAATCTTTTTGCCCTTTCAATTATACTATATAAGAGAGTAATCTTTATTTTTTAACTCTAACTTGGCCTAGATAGGTTTTTCTCTTTCATGTTGCTTATAATTACTCAAAAATTAATTAGTATGGATCTAAAATGTAACATGTACATCTCTTGTTTGATGTCGCTAAATGGATGTAAAAAATTCAAGATCTATCCGAGTATAAAATTAGAAAAATTAATATGGTATAGTGGATTTTAAATTTGGGTTGCTAGTAGAGTGCAATCATGGTTGACCAAAATTACATTTATTAATTATGAACTACCAATTTGTGTAAATTTAGGGTTATTGTTATTTATTTATTTAGGTTCAAGTCATTTGTGTTTGTGTATAGTTGATGCAACGTTATTTTTATATTTTAGTACAGACTGCATGGCACCGTATGGTCCGTCATTTACTTGAAACTTCTGAAAATTTTGGATGGGCCTCTAAATATAACCACATGCCATCATATCGTGAAATCCAATATAATTGAACTTCCATGATTTTTATTTTATTTTTGTAGATCTATTTTAATAAAATAAAAAATAATGAATGCATCAAACCTAGCTTAGTCTTAGGACTTATCGACATTGTAACTCACAAAATAGACCTCCATGCAACTTTTTTTGGAGAGTAAAACAAATATGAGACATATATCTCATCGATTTTTATCTTCAGCATCTATTTTTATATTTCATGCACTCTTAAGATCTTATTTGCACTAATTTTGGTGGTCTATAGCTATCAGCATGCCAACCACAATTATTATTATTATTATTATTAGTATTATTTAATTTGAATTTTAAAATAATTAATATATGTCTTGAATATGGTTCACTCCATAATCATATGGTGTAGTGTGATTGTCAATCTCTATAGAACTCCATTATAAGGTCTTTCTTGCAGCTCCAATATTCTTTATCTCAAACCCTTAGCTTAGCTAATGTATTAGCTTCTTAATCACATACTTATGCTTGACGGCAATTCATATAACATCAACATATATATATAATGACAATAACAAGATAATTTATAATAAAATACGACGAAAAGTTTTCTCTGCTCTAATTAGTATGTCATATACATTGCTTTTATCACATCTCGAATTCAGATAAAAATTTGATCATAAAAACTAAAATGTATTCAATGCATTTTACGAAGGCAAATATTGTTTGGAAAATGCTCATTTTGAGTTGTCAATTGAATTAGGTATCTGAATTTTTTATTTTTTTGAAAATTTCATTCTGAATAAAAAATATTTTTAAAAGGAAATCTAATAGTACAAATGTCCTTCAAATACAAAATTACAGGTTTTTTTTATTTTTATTTTTTATGACAAGAATGTTAAACAAGAGCTCCCTAATATAGGGATTAATCTAACTACTCGAGCAACACTCACAAAATTGCAGGGTTTTGGCATCCCCAACCTCAGAAACTCACTCATATATATATATATATCCCTCAATCCAACAAACAGCGTATGAATAATATGTAGGTGTTTATGTAGAGGTTGGTCAAGTTTTATGGCGAGTAATGTGTGGGTGGGCCTTGCCCATGGTACTCTAAAGTCAATGTTAGTGGTCTCAATTGGGCCGACCCTCAATACTAGAACCCAACTTGCCCAACTAAAAAACAAATCAATATTTGCAAGCCTAATCTCCACCAAATCGTTTGTACTTTTACGCGCATTTTATATCCAACTCCATCTCTCTCTCTCTCTCTCTCTCTCTCACACACACACACCCACACACACGCTACTCTCTCTCTCTCTCTCTCTCTCTCTCTCTCACAACGCGCCTCTGTAAGACAAAACCGTGGATCTATCTCACCATTCACCTTTCTCCCTCTCTCTGCTCAGTAAAACTGTCCAGAGGCAGAACAGGTATCTCTCTAAAACTCCTGTATAACCATTTCCCCAATTTCATATGTTTTTATCGGGGTTAGATCGATCTTCTTTCACCCTGTAAAATGATAAACTGAGAATCGTTAGATCTAACCCCAAATCGATACTCATACTCTCCTTTAGGGCTTCCTTCTCTCTCTATCAAAACGAAGCTTTCCTCAGTTCCACACGCCCTACCCCACCTCAAATTTGACCACTTTCAGAGCTCCCTCCTCTCTCTATATATATAGATATATAGACACACAAACTTATCTATATATTCATATTTATTTTCTTCCGATGTCTTCTCTTCGCCCAGATCTGACAACCAGAATCTACCCGGAACCCTACACTTCCGTCGCCGGCATGGACCATTTCGATCGATTGCCGGATTCTCTGCTCCTCCTGGTCTTTAACATGATTGGAGACGTCAAAGCCCTAGGTCGATGCGGCGTTGTTTCGCGGCGCTTCCACAGCTTGGTACCTCAGGTGGAGAACGTGGTGGTCCGCGTTGATTGCGTCATCTCCGACGACGACGCTTCCTCTGCATCTGGGTCGTCAGATAAATCACGCGGTGCGGTCTCCAACCTTTTCCGGCTTGTATTCGGTGGAATCGTGAAACCCCTCCAAGCCCTTGGTCAATTTCTGGGCCCAAAAAGGTCGAACTCCGGTTCGTCCTCCCTCGCTGTTGGCCGTGGGTCCGCGGTTGGCGTCGATGACGATATTGACCAGGGTGGGGTGACCCACCATTCGCCTACCCAAGTGTTGAAGAATTTTGACGAGATCAAATTTCTCAGAATTGAGCTTCCTAGTGGTGAATTGGGCATAGATGACGGTGCTTTGTTAAAATGGAGGGCCGATTTCGGGTCAACACTCGATAATTGTGTGATCCTTGGTGCTTCTTCAGTGATTTATCCAGGACCTACTAAGTGCTTGCTCTCACAAGACGGAAATGTTGATGGGTTTTGTGGTAATATGAATTGTGGTGGCAGTGGAGACGATAATGGGAGCATACCTGAGTCCTTTTACACGAATGGGGGCTTGAAATTGCGGGTTGTTTGGACAATTAGTTCGTTGATAGCTGCGTCAGCGAGGCACTACTTGCTTCAGCCGATAATTGCAGAGCACAAGACATTGAATAACTTGGTTTTGACCGATGCTGATGGGCAGGGGGTGTTGTGTATGAACAGGGATCAGTTGGAGGAGTTGAGGGTGAAGCCGTTGTCCGCATCATCGGCATCAAAGAGGACCCTTGTTCCGGCTCTGAACATGAGGCTGTGGTATGCCCCACACTTGGAATTGCCTGATGGGACTGTGCTGAAGGGGGCAACATTGGTTGCAATCAAGCCTAGCGAGCAATTGGTAGCAAAGAAGGAGGCGTCGGATGGGTCTTGGGTTTCGACTGCTTTTGAGGAGCCATACGGGACGGCAGCAAAGATGTTGGTGAAAAGAAGAACCTATTGTCTTGAGATGAATTCCTTCTGAGGGCAATGCATGGCTGAGGTAATTTGGTGTCTTTTGATTCTACATTAGGAAAATTGTGAACAATATACAAAATTACAGGCCACGCACTTGCTTATGTGCCATGAATTAATATTTATGCTACGTATCATTGCTAGAAGGCACCCTAATAATATTTGAGCTGGGTTGTATCTGTACATTTGTTTCTCTGTAGTTTAGCTTTGGATCTTCCCTTTTGTCTCTGATAATACATATATATTATTAAAAAATTGCTTGTCAGTTGCTCTTTCGTGGTGGGATCACTCAAATTATTGAATCTGCAATGTAATTTGCAACACAAGTTGAAGTTTTTATAAATGTCTTCGTTGTCTATGTGGCATAGTAGAAAGATCCTATTAGATATGCATCTGCTTTAGTAGAACTCCCCGAATCCAGTAAACAGTGGGTTAATGGAAGTAATCAATCTAAAATTTTAAACCCTTTGTTTCACAAAATATACACACACACACACACACACACACACACACGCTTTAGTTTTTTCATATTATATTTAATTTAACTGGAAGTCCTTTTTCATCAAATTAGGTGCCTCTTGGCCCTTGGGTAAAAGATGGCTTAGATAGACTTATTATGACATCGAGCTGCTCAAATAATTGGACTTGAGGTTAGAGTATGGCTGGGAGTCACTTATAAAAAAAAAAGTATAGCTGGGAGTCGTGTCATGTGCATTTCCTTCACTGTTTTTTAGCCTGGGACCTGCCCTGTTATCTCTCTGATGTATGCATCTCTATGATTTATGCAACTCTTCATTAATTATTCAGAATTGCTTGATCACTCTTAATGTGTTGAACTTTTATGGGATCTTCAGGGAAAGGACAGTTCTTTAAGGAGAGTGTAGAAAGCATACAATTTTGTTTGCACGAAGCTTAATTTGATGACAGTGCTCCGTCAAGCCAAATATTGCGTCCTGCTTGCACCTGAAACGTCAGCTTGGTTGATTATTCGGTGCAAATCTATTAACTTCTTTGCTTGACTGATGGATGAAATGCGGCTTCTTTTTGTTTTATTTCAGGCATATGCTTGTAAGAATTGCACATAATGCAACTAGATTGATGCTGTAAGAGATGTGAGCCTTTGAGTTTGTAGACTTTTTCATTTCTTAAATATGTGAATATTGTAGTTATGAATTTGTTATGCTTATTTGATGCAATTATTAAATGCAGTTAACAGTGTACTTTGCATATACTACACAAATGGCTAATACTATTTGTTGTTGCACTGCTTGCTGTCAATGTTATGGAAATTTCATTAGTTACATTATCATAATTATTAGCCCCAAGGAACTTATTTCATGGCATTGGTTGCCCTAAAAGAGTTGAATAGATGATATGGGATGTACTTGACTAGGTAGAGTGCTTCCTTTTCTTTTCTTTTTTCTTCCCTCTTCTCAAAAGTTTTTAGGATAGCATGTTTGTGCCTCAGAAGCTGTGACTCGTGTTTCTTAAGTGCATCAATGTTAGTTTGGTTCCTTGTAGAAAATCAACTCTTGAAACTTGTCATGCTTGCTCTGGTACTAATTTTGCAGATGCCTTCACAATTATTGGATGAAGCATCTTTCTTTCTCCTCGCAATCACTTTTCTGCCCCCCTCCAATTTTAGCTAGAAAAATCTTTCAAATCACTTTGGTCTCGAGTTGGTCAAGGAAATGGTTTAGGAGAATCTACTACTCCGTTGTGTGGATGCTTTGATTCCTTAGTTCTGCAATCTAAAAGAACATGTTCCGCCATTCAGAATATTGTTCAGAATGATATCTATCTCAGCATGTAGTTTGAGTGTCAAGACAGTTATTTAGCATCAAAATAATGTTAATTTGTGGTCCGTCGATCAGATGTAGGACGGTTTCATTTCCTTGTAAATATGCATATACTGTATGTAAGAGCGTAGTTAATTAATTCAATTATCAGGAGATTGATGTGCAATTTTCTCTTCAACATTGCGATTTCAATGTAGTTGTTCATTCGAACCTTTTTAGCTTCCTCTGGATCACTATTTATCTTGGTAGTTTGGGTATGCAGGACCAAGATGAGGTAAGGACCCTTTTACTGGTGGGTGGCGTTGTGATTCATCAAACTCGTGGGGTTTTCTCATTCTTTGTAGTAAAAAAAAGGAAAAAAAGATGGTTTTAAATGAGCAAAGAGGGTACCACAATGACTTGATTTGCACATGGACTATCTGCTAGTGATTTGGATGGGGGCTTGCTGCTAGGACCTGGCTGATTATGATGCACCCTTTGGTAGATGAGCAGAGATTTTGATAAGAAATACTACTAAAACCAAGGCAATAATAACTGAAGCAGAATTACTTGTTTTATTAGCAGTTGGTGGCATCAAATCATGCTGCTGTTAACCACCACGAGAAGACTTTAATTATGTTTGAGTGCCGATGATGATGATGAAGGTAAAAGCTGAGTGGGTGTTGACTCTCGAGGTGCATTTAATAAGATTACTCCAATAATGGCTGCCCATGTCCCCCCACTCTTGGTGAAATTCATGCATTTGTTTTTAAATAAATTACTGTAGCATTTTGATTATGACTTCCATTCTGTTTTTGAGTCGTATTCAATGTGTGAAGCTGTTGAATCATCAATGCCTATTGAAAGAAGCCCTTTATTGTATCTTAACTTTGAAGTTTTTCAAGACATTCATCAACATTTTCTTATACATTTGGGGCAGTTAGGGAAGCCCAAAATTAGGGTCAGCCCAGTCCAGATTGCTCTTAGGTTTGTTTTGTTTTTCTGTTCATCTTCAAAATATACTTTGTGATAGCACTCCTGTAGAAGCCGACGTTTGTCTTCATTGATAGTACCATCTATTCTTAAAAGAAAACAAATACGTACCCTTAATATATAAGCATAGTGTCCTTATTCTCTCAATTGACATTTATTTTTCATAGCATCTTAGTGCTATAATTCTCAAATTTTGTCACGATGCTAACTTGCTACATGCATTGGTGTATCTCTTCATATGGAAACTGAAATAAGGTACTACTATTGACTAGGGGTGGCAAATTGTATTCGCTAATCATAATTGTCTTGTGTTGATATAAGAATATTTTACTAAATAACTCAACCTATTTAGTATTCGTGTTAGGAACCCTTAACACTAACTCAATCTGTTTATTAAACAAGTTCAGGAACCATTAACACTGACCCAACCTGTTTAAAATAAAAAATTATATTATTTAAATTATTAATAATCCTCAATCAAACAATAAATATTTAAAAAAAAATATAAGTTTCAATCCAACCAAATTACCAAATAGTCTTAGTTTACGAAAGAGTAAATTATAAGACACAAGATTAGATAATTATTTTGAAACTTAAATATAAATTTGTTTATAATATGTATAGTTAAGCATAGTGTTAGAGCCGTGTTGATCGGTAAGTCCTAAATACTATATATAGCCCACCTCCTCCTTGAGGGTAGGGAGAAAAAACAAAGTACCAAAGTTTTAAATCGGAGAGCTTGGATGCGATATTTTGCCGGAAGAAATCACTCACTGTCATTTTCACTAATTTGTTTAAACGTTTTCGGAACAAGTTGAAGTAGCACACCAAGCCCAGGGAAAAACATTAAAGGCACGACAGGCACAATGTTTATTTTGGTCATCTCTAGATTTTAAATTGGTTGCACTTATCAAGCTATCTGATCAAATGACTAATACGTATCAAAACATTTTAAGTTCATCCATGACTTAAGCATACTATGATCAGTAGTAGTCGAGGAATCAAAGGAAGGCTACAACAAATGTGAATTCTAAGAACTGGAAGAAATCTAATCCGTGGCACGTGGAATTTAACTGAAAAATAAAAGTGATGAGTATCTGATGTATAAATGCAAAATTACAGGGAGTACTGCACAAGCAACACAAATGTATGTTGAGTTCTTAACCGAAGATAATGATTTTAGATGATGAACTAAGCTGACTTCCATTCTTTAGTTAACTGTTCTCAGGATTAAGATCATAGCCAACAACATTTACCTTTTAAAAAAAAAAAAAAAAAAAAAAAAGATCATAGCCAACAAAAGAAAACAAACATTCAAAATATTGCGAAAAGAAAGCTGCTAAGAATGGGCATTATAGAAATTGAGGAAGCGATTCAAATCAATTCTGTTATATCTCATGGAAACGCCACCTTGTATGCATAGATAAAAATATTTAGCTAGGTTAATGCCAGCTGAATGATTTCAAAATGGAAAACGCAGAACAAACAATATCAGAAGCACAATTATAACATACAACTGAAGGTAGGGAAGGCATGATTTCACTCGCAACTTGCTACTACTTCTTCAGACACCTGCATCAAACATTGCCAATATAGTTTATGTGCCTCGTATTTTGTCAGCAATAGTAAGGGTATCACAGTATAATTTACTCGAAAATGAAGAGGAAAAAAATATATGTATCACTGTATACATATAAATATGAAGCTATTAAAATGACAATGGAAACCCCTTAGAAGTAATATCAACACGAAATGAAAATTGAAAGCTCATCCTGAAGAAGGAAAAGCAAAGCAATAATTATTTAGAAAATTCAAATAATGTACTATATTATTTACTTCTACACTTTTCAAGGTAAAAAAGCTGCATCCATTTTTGTTTTAGAGACACCAATCAAATTCATGGTTAAAATAGCATTGTTAATGTAACCAGAAGTTTAGATCTTTTATTATAGTCTCCTGTTTCAATATATTACTTTTGGTGAACAAACAAGATAAGAACATTCAACTGTTAGTAATGGCTTAAAGAGGCTAACTACACTAGGTTAAACGTTTTAAATGCAGTTGAAGTGTCATCTTACCAAATATGGGCAAGTAATATTTGAATCATGCTGTGCCAGGAGCTGGATACCAAGATAATGTTATGGCTTTCATTATGATTTCTCAGGGCTCCAAAAGGAAGAGAGAGTGAGGGAAAAAAGCCAGTTCCAAATAATATTGTATCGTTGAAGTGTAACTTTAACTGCCCTGTGGCTGTTTATGGGAGGAAGGGGAAATAAACACCAACTAAAGAGGAGAAAAAGAATAATTATAGGTACGTTATAACTATTCTTATATCCTTTTTATTGCATCAATAGCTTATATATATATACATATATTTCCATAATTAATCTATTAGTTGAGGGGGTTTATAAATCTTTTATATATGCCCATGATAGATGAAACTATGATTATGGTCCTTTCAAAACTACAAGAAGCTTTTCAAACTGCTCAAGGAAACTATTTCAAGACACATTATATCTAGAGATCACGTAATAGAAATTGTTGCTCTCCATAAGTAGAGATTTTTTGTTTCAATGAATGAAATCACAACCATATCAAGAGGTCAGAGAATTTGAAACTGTCACAACACATTTTTCTTAAAGAATCATACATATAATTGCATTTGTTTGAGAAACATACTGGACAAGTCGAAACTTTATAAAATCATAAAACTTGGATCTTCGCTTCAAGCACATCAGAATAAAAAATAAAATGCTAAATGCTTTTCATTTACACATATAAACCATATGAAGTTTGAAGACGAAGGAAAAAAAAAAAAAAAAAAGTCATATCACACCTTAATCAGTATTTTGTACAAAGTCATTTATACCTCTCATATTATGAACCAATAGCAGCTGTAAATCCAACTGTTGTATGTGTACTTTTAAGATTAGTGATATGCATCTTATGAACTTCCCGGTGAATGTGTGTAAACCAAATACAAAATGCTAATTAGACTCTCATGCACCTCCATATATAAATTATTCCAGCGGGCTTCTCCACCATTTGTGCCATTGAATAAAGGATAAAGGGAAGATGGCAGTCTAAACCAGTTGTTCCAGAAACATCTCACCCTTGGTGACTAGCCTACTTCCCATCTTGTAAATGTTTCCTGATGAAATCACAATAAATTCCCAAACCATCATTGGAACAAACTTAACTCATACTAAATTGAAAAACAAGATCAATAGAGCCGCTGCACAGTCTGAATTGAAGGCTAAGGCATCTGTATTATCCAGCTCCCTAATCAGATAAAATATAACCTTGGTCTATTTTCTGATATAATACAATAATAACTCAATGGACCGCCCCCCTTTATATCCTAAATATCGCAATTCTTGCTAATTTGTTTACTATCATCACAAGATGAATGGGAGGATAGCATGTAATCTTTACCTACTTCCGCCACTTATATATATTGCATATACAAAATTTGACCTTGATTTGACTCCAAAAGCTATCCTACTTGAAATAATTAAGACTAAGAAATTTAGACTAGGATGGTCATGCATCTTCTCCTAGTGAAACTTGTACTAACCCTGTTGTCCTTGTTTGGAAGCAATGCACTCATAAGATAGAAGATCCACGTGTTACTGGAAATTAATAGGGTCAAACAAAAGGAAATTCTCAAAAAGCTTAACTGAAGAACGTGAAGTGAGACATGCAACATGGCTGTGGAATTCGGTAACTAGGAACCTTTAAAAGGACAGAAAAAAAATTGCATATAAAATTTATAAAATGCCAAAACCAAAAGCATCAGTAATCATATAAATTAATTGAAATAAGGGCAACTATAAACAGCACTAATGAGATAGTTATCCACCAGATTGGTCAAAACCAAGGGTTGGAGCTTGTGTTTATGGAGGCATAAGACTATCTAGAATGTTGCAAATAGCCTGTTAAGTGGCCCAAGTTCACACCTCATCTCAAAGAGAAAATACAAAAGTAACTCAAAACCGAAAATTGATTAAATATATATATATATATATATTGCATGAAATTAATTTAAACCATCTGCAAAAGCTAAAAGGTTATAGAGTAAGGTTCTTTCAAAAGAATCTTCATTTTCCATTACAAACATTGTACTGATGAAGATAGGACATAACATTGTCTTTTTTATTTTGTTAGTAATGCACAATCTTGTAATCAAGGTAGCAGAAATTTGGAAACCAAACCTTTCCCAAAAAAATATAGGTTTTATTTGAAAGATGGAAAAATAAACACTCAAACCCAATTGTTGTTGAAGTAGGAAAAAAAAAAAAAAAAAAAAAAAAAAAAAAAAAAAAAAAAAAAAAAAAAAAATCATTTTAAGGCAGTTCAAATAGATTTATTAATCTATATCACCCCCAAAATAAGGACAATGACAAAACCTACTTACATAAAAACCATTTTGTCAACACAAGACCATTACACGCAGAACCTACTTGATAAGTAAGGAGGTCGTAAGGGAACAATTTTGATAATTGATATTGTGAATTCCACAAGAGAATGGCTCATAGAGAGAGAGTCCAAGAGCCACTGAAGCTAGGACCTCAACATGGTTTACTATATAATTACACCAGCAACCTAATTTGTTTGATATACTTAAACTGTCCTTACCCTAATTCTTCAAAACTAAATATATAACAGGTGAACATCCATTTAGTATCCATGGCTTGAAAACCCTTCTTTAGATGCTGATCACTATTCTGACCAGGCCACCAGCATCTAGACTACACAAAAGCTAGTGGGCAAAGGCAAACTTACTGCATGAGGCTTCTGCCATTGCGGGGTTGGAGAGGGCTAGATGTACATAAGATAGTGGGATTTCCAGGTCCTGCAAAAATTTGGCATTGAGGAGGAAGATACTAGATCTTCTGCTAAGTGCAAGATTCCATTTCTCACCATTGAATGTACACTCAAGACTGAAAAAATGATTCAACTGAAAGGCAGCTTTTCCAAGATGATGGCACACACAACTTGTAAAACCATTTGCCCTTATTAAGGGTCGCAAGGTCACTCAGAGTCATTCTTCTCCGTCTGAGATTAGGAATTTCTTTTTAAAAGTTGGAAGAATATCATAACTCAGTTCAGATGATCAAGTCTATAATTATTCATACCAGGTTTATACAGGAAAAAGGTTATTTTGCCATCTAGTCTAGAGAATTTGGATACTTCAAAGACTTCAAGGACAGAAGAAGACAGTTTAAGTGGACAAGACTGTTTCAATGCCTTACCTTCCATCTCATCTATATTTTCCTTTCCTCTTTCTTATGGGGTCACTATAACTTGACAAACAAATTATAACTAAAAATTATATTTTAATTAACAATTTAAGAAAAATCACTGCAATGAAAGAATCTTCTCTCTACCATCAAGCATGCATTATTTTATCATATCATCACCTTGTTTTATAATTTAGTTAACTCGGTCACTACTACGGTAATACCCCTCATCAACACAACTGAATAACCCTAAGTTCAATTTCATACTGGTTATTTTCTTTTCGTTCACTTTGCTTTGTACTTTCAACTCTCAAATATTATTTTCTTCCTAACAAAATGAGCCTAAATTTCATTCCCATTGACCAAGAAAATTCTAAGTGGTTAAATGACTCAGACATTTCTTGTTCAGTAGTGTTCTCTAAAACTAAGGTTTGTTGTTCAAAATAGAAAACAGGGAAACATATGGTGAAGAAAGACATTGGTAATCACTAGAAATTGTAATAAAGAATTTTTTTTAAAAAATATATTAACGGTCTGATTCAATTTTCTGATAATACTCTTTTATTTTCATAGAATTAGAAAACAAAAAAATACATCAGAAATTTTTCTTTTTCTTTTTCTGGTTAACAGTTATCTAAAATTGTTATATGAAATTGAGTTAAGAAAAGGTATGAATATTGAAAATTATCTTTTGTAATTCTCTGAAAAGCATTCTGTTTTCAAAATTTTTGAAAATCATTTTCAGAAAATTAATCTACAAGACTAGTACTTTTCAAAACTTATTCAGGAAATGAAAACTACCTGTTGAAAGTGAATTCTTCAAATCAATAACAAACAGCCTTTACTTTCCAATCTTTTCAATGCAATAAAAACTGTAAAATGACATGAACCTCTAAGAGAAATTTAAATGTGAATTAATTTAAGGAACGGGGTGCACAAACAGTTTTTTCCTCCAATGAAAATGTCATCTCCATTAAAGTTTCTTAACTTCATTGAAGTGAAACAAAGAAAAAGAGGAGAAAATTTAAGCCTCTTTTATGACACCCATTGTGAAAGTCCAAAAAAGTAGACCTACCTACGTGCATGGTTTTGACCAATTAGGTTTTAGGTAGTCCCTCATTTTGACCAGCAACCAAAAACTACCCAAACCATATAGGAAACGCTGCTAGAGCTTAACAATCCACCGTTCCATTGACAAGTGTCGGGGAATGGCTATGGTGCAACTGAAATTCAAATGGAATTAATTGAAATGAAGCTAGGGCACACAAGTGTTTGGGATTTTAAAATTGTGCATTGGAATCTGAAAATTGCGTTCTTTCCACATAGTGACCAACACCTGGCTTGGCCAAGATATGCCAGAAAGAAGGGGAACCAAGAAGAGAACAAACAATGAGACAATCCACGCACAGGTTTCACAAAAGACAATACCAGTATATATATAACTAATCCCCTATAGCGGTGCTTTTTAGAATATCAAGAAATCAAACCATTGATGGTACCATAACTCTGATGCAAAATAGCAATTTAAAAATAATTAATATAAAAAATAAAATAAAATAACCTATAGAACAGTATAGCAGACTGAATGAAGCCCATGTGAAGAAAGAGCAACAAACAAATAAGCACAAAAAGCTTCTTGCAAATAAAATTATACTAGTACTACTCAATACCACCACTTACCAGAGTTCGAAGATGTGCCAGGAGGAACTAGCCATTGAAGAAACTCAGTTCTTTCCTTTCCCCTTCTGGTCGGAATGCTGGCCGGAGTCACGATAGTAGAGTTGCAAGCGGCCATCAAGTCCAGGTGGGAAGTGATGATTATTCTCCATAGCTGCAGCATTTGAAGCCGCAGTGCCAATGAAGAAGGGCACATTTGATCCGTCTACAGAAGAAAACCTCTGAAGGTAAGGCATCAGAGACGGCGAATTGGACTGAAGGGTCCCCCTGTTGAAACCAGCAGTAAGGCCGGAAGAGATTGTGAAGTTGAGGTTATAGTCGCCCCCACCAGCTGGGGCTGCCACCGAGACCAGGTGGTCCGGGACGAAAGAGAAATGCTGCTGCTCTGGGTGGTGGTCTCCAACGCTGAAAGGTGGAATGGTCATGGACTGTGGGAGGGAATTCCCCAAATGAATTTGGCCGGGAAACCCAGAAGAAGAATGATGTGTTCGGGACGAAGACGGATCAAGAAGTTCGGAGGCGAAATAATCCATGGGAGCTGAAGACCACTGCCTTGTTGACTTGTGGAACATATTAGACTCGCCACCACGATGGTTTTGTTGAGCTGATCCACTGGGACTCGTATTGCTGTTACCAATACTGCCTATGCCACCGGTGAGAAGCTCAGTGAAAGAGGTCTGAGAAATGGGGTTCACATTGGGATGATTGATGACACAAGACTCATTTTCTTTCTCCTTCTCCTTCGCTGCCCTCTCTCTTGCTCGCTCTCGAGCTTTTATGCGATTTTCAGATCGAGCAAGGGACAAAGATGAGCCTTTGCTAGTTTCCGAAGTGCTACTACAAGCCGATTTCGATAAAGAAATATGTTGTTGCTGCTGATAATTTTGCTCACCACCATCTAATTCTGCATCAGCTAAATCAAACCTCTTTATATCATTCATTTGCTTAGGAGTGTCCAGAAACGAAGTGTTAATTGAAGGTAGCTCATCAATGGAACTAGCAGCCGCACTCAGTAGCCATTCCACGGCCTTGCTGGGCTGATCGTAACCGAGACGATCTTGAAGATCATAGAACTGTATTGCCGTGTGAACTGAGAGACGGACTCGACGGTCCCGAAGCCCTTTGGAGGTCCAAACCTTGCTGTGCCGATCTTTCCCTCCCGATGCCCGAGAAACCCTAACAATCCGCGATGTCGGCCACCCACAGAGCCGGCCAAGGCCAGCGCTTCCGCCGTCAATTGCTCCCCTCATCCGTTTGACCTCTCCATCTTCTTCATCATCTGGGTATAGCTCATCCCCCTTTTGCCGACTCATCTTGTTACATCCCTGCATTTGAATCTCGTCCACCTCCGTACCACTTTCATGCCTTTCTCAACAAAACAAAACCAAGAAAAAGACCCAGTTTTTAGAGAGAGAAAGTGGATGGAGAGAGAGACTGGGATTTTTGGGATCTGAAAGAGGGTTTGGAGTTGGAGGAGGAGGAGAGAGAGAAGTGGGTGCTTGTGCAGGTGGGGGCAACTGTATAATGTGTGGGTGGTCTCCTTTGCATTGATGACGATTACACACAGTACTTTGGCTTTTCTAGTGACATATAAAGGACTCTTTTTGCGCTTCGATATATCACGTTCATCCACAGCCCGCTATTGTCAGAAGCAAGGCACCGTTTAAGCCTTTTGCAGTAATTTCAAACGCAAAGCCTGCGAATTTGCTCAGATTCTCTCTATAAGTCTAAGCATGTGAAGAAAATAAAAAAATCAGATGCTGAGTGACGTACACAGCTTTTACACTGGCTCATCAATTAGTACCTCATAAACTAGAAAATTAGTGATTTTTTTGTATGCTAAGTATAGCACTTTAAACCCTAACCTCAAGCTTTTTGAAGATGATATAGTTTGGGGAAACGAAAAAGGAAAAATAAAAATGAAGAAAGAGAGATTAGTATTATTGCTTACTTCCCTTTGATCTGATCCAATTCTGCTGTGGTTGACAAAAGTTATGCAGCAGTAATTGCGTACAAGAAGTTGCCCATCAGTGCCCTTTTAAGCCTGTATTTAAAGCTTTGCTGACCAAGATTTGCAGATATTAATACATCACTTCGTTTAAAGATCATCAACCATCAAAAAAACGAATGGTCCTGAATAACTATATACACACACACACACATGTAGAGAGTACTAATTAATCACCAAGTATTGGTTGTTCACAGAATTCAAGTATACGGACAAACAACTCACCCGAAGCTAGCTAACAAATATGTGTTCAGCTCCTTCCAGAACATTTAGTGGTTGCCAGATGGATGAGTTTCTGAGTGAAACAAAAATAAATCAAACTATTTTAGCAGAAAAGCACTCAACTTTAAGTTTGATAAATTAATTATATTCAGAAGCCAATGACCACAATGATAAATTCAAAAACTCTACTGCAAACAAATAAGAAAATGTTTTCATCTCCATTGAAAAGTTTAGGAGAATCAACAAAATATTCACAATTACAAGAACCGCTATCAGTTCCTGAATCGAACAAAATTTAACTTTTCCATTTCAAAAACTTTAAACGAATTGAAGAGAAAGACTACCAACAATGTGGAGATGGATCCAAAAAAAAAAAAAAACAAAATCAAAGAGGAGGAGGTAAGATCTAGAAGACCTACTTCGGAGTTTGGTTCCTGTGATGTTGCTTCCTCAAGTTCTCGAGATATGTATATGTCTCTCACTCTCTCTAAAAGTCTAACCCCCAAAGTATACTGAAGCAGTCACCGTATTGAGAAAACAAACCACTTTTTTTTTTTTTTCTCTTTTTCCACTTCCGGCCGTTTACTGCAAGTCATGGAAGCATTCTAAAACCTAGGCAGCAAACCGCCGTTAATGGACCTTGAATTCACCGACGGGGAAAGGTGTTTCTCTCTCTAGAGGCTGATTTGTAGAGAGAGAAAGTGATGAAAAGGAGGTGAATGTTAGGGTTTATCTTTTCTGAAAAAATAATCAGTTTTTGGTAGTAATATCCGAAATTAGAGAAAGACAGAGAGAGGAAATTAAGAGAGGAGAGAGAGACTGTTCTATGGCCTACGCCTTCCCCATTCGAGCACACCACCACCGGGCCTATCGGGAAAGGACAGACACAGCGCCGTTTATCACCTTAAACATGTCCGTTTCACCAAAAACCTCTCTTTTTACATGTAAGTGTGTGATGATAATATAATTGTATCATATATTCTTTTATAATATTAAAAAGTAAATTAAAAATAATAGCAGAACCGTTAATTTATTTTTACATGTGTCAAAATCATTTCAAATTGTTTGACCCATTTTATTATGAATCAAGCGTATCATTAATGTATGTCATTATGTCAATGCTAAGGCCTCGTTGTGTTGTGTTTTGTAGTATTTTATTTTAGTTTAGAACACAATAAGTGTTTTGTCATGTTTTGCTCTAAAACAGAACAAAATATGTTTGGTGATGAAAAATTGCAGTGAGAATTTTAGAACAGAAATATGATAGATAATGTTTAACAAGGTATTTCGTTTCAAGAAATATGAGATCAAAACATATTTGGCTGACTGAAAGTGTAACCAAAATCAGTAAAACAAAAGTATGAAATATATTTGGTAAAAAGTGTTTTTAAATAATGTTTTCATCAATACATTATTTATAACTTTATTAAATATAAAGTAAAATTTAATTATTGTATAATTTTAGTATATAATTGATATAAATTTTAATATATATATATATATATATATATATATATATATATATATTGTTTATGTTAGTTTATTAACTAATCTATAAAAACCAATAAAATATATTCTAAATTGTAAAACCTTTGAATGTTGCATATGGTTTTGATAATTGTAGAACACATTTTTTAAATATCGAACTGAAATAAACTTTTAACATATTACATATTACATAAGTTTAAAGATATTACAGACATAAGTTTCATAAATATTACATCATTTGTCAACAGGCACAATAAAAGTTCATAAAGTAAAATTGAACTAATATATTACATTATTTATCAACAATCACAATAACCAACAATAACAACAACACAAGCAATAACATAAATAATATAGTTATAATAAGACAACAACAGCCACCATAGATAATGTAGTTTTGCCGATTTTGTTGAGCTTGCATAACAGTAAATATATCCTCCAACTCTTGTTCCACATAACCACCCACTTGCAGACGTTGGTGCATGTCATCTAACCATATAAATGCACGAGCATGTGACTAAAACATGAAAGACTTGTATATTATTATAATGCCTATGTGACAATAAGATGTACGTATAAAAAATTATTAATGCAAAAAAAATTGTATACTCCCAAATTGGACATCTATAGAATGAACGTCCATAATTTTTTGAAGTTCTAACCATATAAAGATTCATTCGACCCCTTCCACATGTACAAGATGGCTCGTCACCCTGTATCTCATACATGACTACATATACAAGTTACTACATTTATCCAAATCATAAAAAAAAAAAAAAAAAGTTAAAATATAGTTAACACAAGTTATTACATTTATCGAAATCATAAAAGATAGTTAAAATAAAGTAGTTATTACAGTTATCCAAATCCTAACAAATAATTAAAATAAAGTAATTATTACAGTTATCCAAATCCTAACAAATAATTAAAATAAAGTAGTTATTACAGTTATCCAAACATGATAAACATCTAAATGCAATTTAAAGGGTGCTGAATTGTATTCCATATAGTATTAGCAATATGATTACCTAAAATATCAATTGGTCGATCGCGAGCGAGACCGCGACACATTAACCTGAACATCATTATTATCATCTTCAAATATTTTATCTATCATTGTCTCCACAGTTGCATCATCAAATATTGCATCTACTTGCGCCTCATTTCTTATAAAGTTGTTAAGTGTGTAGGAGGCTAAAACAATAGCAACCTGAACTTCAAATTTATATAGGGGCATTTGCTTCTATATGGGGAATCCCAAAACAACGTTCAATGATATTTTGCAAAGACGAGTGCCTGTGATTGTAAATTTCTCTTTACCTCGGGGTTGCCAAGAAGTTCTACGGTACTCTTGGAAGTGGTACCGTTGACCCTTGTAGGGAGCCAAGAAATCCGGTTGATTAGTATACCTGGAGTCTACCAAATAATATTTTCCTGTCATTTTACAAACTATAAACAATTGTACCATGATATTTAAAATAACTATTACAAAATTGTAGGAAGTATGACATTTACCGTCTAGAGGTTGTGGGAAATGCATATCCTCATTATTAATGGTCTCGTTCAATATCTTGGAATCATTAGCAGACCCTTCCCATCCTGCTATAACGTACGTAAGCATCATATCAAAATCACAAATAACCATTACATTTTATGTGGTATCCCCTTTCTTACCACGAAATGGTATTTGCTGGTCCATAGGTACGTTCGCATGGATATGAGTTCTATCAATTACCCCTATGCAATTCTTAAACAAAGGGTAGTACTTTTTTGACTTCCTTATATGGTTAGGAACTTTGGTTAAATATGGGAAGACAATAATCTTTTTTCCTAAATCACACTCTTTTTTGTAAAACCGAATGGAAGTGTTTTGAAATTGTATAGGTAGAGTGTTGAAATCTTTCTTCTACCACACGATTCATTTCATTGTGAGCTAAAGTAAGTAAGAATATTAACTTGTTCATAAACATTTACACCTGTAGAGTCTTTCAACCCTAATGACCTAAGCTCCCCACACAACTTCAAAAAAATAAGGGTGGACATCTTGAAGTTTTCAAAACATATACTTCCATGTCCGTGCAAGATCTCCATTATATATGCTTCCCTGCTTAAAAGTGAATCCTTATAAGGTTGTTTATGGTAATGTTTCGTATAATAATCCAACATACATGCCATTATGATGACACATTCATTCTCGTCATCATCATCATCACCATACAACTCAATTATTGTCCTAATATCCATCTGTATAATACAAAATGTAAGAAACAACATAAATTATAATTATCCCAAGCAAAATACTAAATAAGAAATAAAAGCAAGACAACAAATAAAATCATCCCAAGCCAAATACTGATATTGTCATTATTGCAATTATCCCAATAACATAAATACTAGTGTAATTAATGTTGCAATCATCCAAAGTCATAATAAAACTAAATAAGAATTAAAAGCAACACACCAAATAAAGTATACTTAATAGCACAGTCATCCAAAGTCATAATAAAAGCAACACACCAAATCAAAGATTCATGATCCAACCAACCCTCTTATCATCAGGAAGGACATTCAGAAAGAAATCCCTTCAAACTTCATCATTACGTAACATCTGGGTGACCTTAGCATATTGTTTCATATCAACGTCCTCCAACTTATTCAAATTATTGCAACGTAACTTAAAATCACCTTTTGTCTTGTCCGGAGATTTTACTTCAACCTAACATTCTTCATGGACTGTTTTCATATTAGATGATGAAGCTTTTTTTATAACCTTTTCAATTCGATCACATTTCATGTTAGCAGTGTCTTTCATTTCACGCATGACATCGCTTATTGTGGAGGCAAAACTTTCATTCTTTGGTTTCATACCACAAAGTTCAGGAGAGGAACTGATCTCATGAACGTGTAACTCAACTAAATCAATAATTTCAAATGAGTTATGTATGGCTACATGGTGTGAGGGGGCTTGGTTAATAATGGGTGGATTAGTCGAAGTATTAACATACCGAGATGAGAGAGATAAGGAAATAAAGAGAGAGCATAGGGAGATTCTGGACAGAGAGAAGAGAATTCGAGAGTGGAGAGAGACGCGATGAAGAGAGAGCTCGGCCCCTTCGCGAAGAACTCACCGGAGTGACAAAAGGCAGCGGCAAAACTTAGGTTTGCTGGAAAACGCAGAGGTGAGACAGAGGGAGTTTCTCTTCAGATCTTCATACACAGTGGTCGATTTGAAGCCCGAACTTCAAACAGCTTCAAAATTTTAGACAGAAAACAAGGATAACTATGTTGAGAAGAAGAAGCAGAGGAGCTCACCAATGAGAAGAAGACGCTCTCAAGGAAAGCTTCAGATTTATTTCGTTGTGGTCGATTTCAAGCCCATAGCAGTGACAAAAAAACGATTGTGTAGGAAAGCTTCGTCGATTTCAAGCCCAGTTTGGTTTTCGTCGAGTTGAAGCCCGACATTATGCACTGTGTAGGAAAACATCATCGATTTGAAGCACGAACAGTGGAATCACCTCCAGAATCGCCACACGAGAGCGCAGAACAAACCCTACCATTTGTTGCAACTTTCATGTTGTACCTGTGCTGGGTTGGCCCAATGTGTTCCTTCTGCTACAGTGACTTGTGTAGCCCAAAAAAATACGGAACAAACGAGAACACCAAAATGGTGTTTCAACTTAATTTTGGCCTGAAATCCTGGAGTGTTCTGGTACTGTTGAAAACAAAACAAGGCGGGCCAAATATGTTTTGGACTAAAAATGGGCTACTGTAACGGGCCGGGAACATTACAAAACACTTCCCAAATAGGGCCTAAGGAGAACATTCCCAACTAATGTAGAAAGATAGGTATTGCTTATATATAAAATTACATATGACACAATTATTTTAGGAGACAGACGTGCACAAATAGTAAAATAAGAGAAATGCAATCAATACTCACAAGTATGGCACAATTTTTTTTTCTTAAAAGTACAAATAGAATTTTACAATAAAAAATGTAAACAAAATATCCATATATGTGTGTTTTAACTATTGATATAATACAAATATCAATAACCTAATAACATAATTGTCATAAGAATATGGTAGCATTAATATATATTATTTGTTGTTGTAATAATGCATGTATATATATTACACATTTACACTCATCATTATTTTTACCTTTTTATATTTTCAATTATGCCTCAATATTAAATCAAATTTAAAAAGTGATTAAACAAATTCATTGTTGTAAAAGAATTATAAGACATTTATAGAGTTTTTTTTTTTTTTTTTTTTTGGTTGTATAGAAGTGTGACGGTTCATAATTATGTCCTATATCAAAGTGTTAGTCTCACGCTTAAGTTTTTTAATTGAATTGCGAAACATCCGACCCCCTTACAGTTAGTATTAAGGGTAAAGTATAGAGATGCCCTTAGAGGTTTGGGGCAATAAATAAGGCCATGTAGATGAAAGTTTGAACGCCCCTTCAAGTTTGAAAAATGGACAAAGAGACCCCTGAAGATGGTGAATTGACCTTATTACCCTTTGAAATAAAATTAATATTTTAATTAACTTAAATACCCTTGGATTAAACCTTAACCCAAACCCATCTCAAACCCTAACCCGACCATAAACCCATCTGTGTGTATATATACAGTTCACCACTATGTATATATATTTATGTATTTATGGCGGTGGTGGTGGGTGGAGAGAAGAGAGAACGGAGAGAAGAGGAAAGGAGATGAGATGGATGGTGGTTGTGGCTGCAATTGTGGGTGCAGAGAGAGGGGGAAAAGAGGAGCGGTCGTAGTTTAAGAGATAAGGTGAAGAAGAAAGAGAAGAAGAAGATAGGAAAGAGATTGTGGTGATGGTTGTGACAGTAGGGGTGGCGGTGATGATTGCGACAATGGTGACAATCGTCGTGATTGTCGTCGATTATTTAGCCGCCACTACCTCATCATCAGACCTCAACCTCCCCCAGCCCGTCGCTTCATTATCGACGGCAGACCACCGATCTCATCATTAACTGTCCATATTTAGATTTGATGATGGTAGAACCATCAATCTCATCCTCAAAGCGTCGCTGCAGGCTCATCAACTCTTTACCACCATCAATAATCAAAGACGCCGGCGTAGGGAGTGTCAATCCTTCATCCATTTGCTTCAGACCGAAAATCAGTGCTCACCATAGATCATTCTCATCACTGATCCGTCCATTTCACGCTGGAAATCCATCCGTTCCATGCGTAACGCCGATTCTTGCTCACGGCTCCACCGCCGGTGATCAGTTATCGCCACCTCAAAAAACTCCATAATCCAAGTCAAACCTGGCTTGTCTGAGGCCGAGGAGGTGGTGGTGGCAGAGCTCCTCTTCAGCGTCTTCTTTAGTAGATGGTGATTATGGAGGTTGGGGGTGGTGGTGACTGTGGTTGTTTATGTGTATATATATATATATATATATATATATATATATATATATATAGGGAGAGAGAAAGAGATGAAAAGGATAATTTAGTCTTTTAAATATTTTGATATTTTAAAATTAAAATTAATAAAATAGTGAAGGGTAAAGTGGACTTTTTACATGTTTAATGCTCTGTTTGGAAGATAAATTTTCTAAGAGGGTGTCGTTGTCAAAAAATAGGCAAACTTTTATTTGCATGGTCGTACCCCAAACCTCAAGGGGTATCTATGTACTTTATCCCAATATTAAAATTAGACTCGATACAGTCTCACGTTCAAGTTTTTTGGTAGAATCACGAAACATCCGTCTCCTTTACAATTAATATTAAAATTAGACTCAGTCTTTGATCTACGTTACGCTATATTTTTATAGAAGTATTATAGAATAATGATTTTTACAACTCTAATAAATAATATCTAATAAATTTTTTTGTAAATTTAGAACCTGTCGTTGTTACGTGTTTACTTCACTGAATGACATATATTCATACTTTTATCAATTTTTCAGGATTTCAAAACAATGGCAATAAGGCCCCAAATAAAGGGATTTAAGATTAAAAAGGTCTTCTCCACCACCCAATTGTCGAATTGAGTGAGAACTCACTCCCACTTACTCATCCAACCATTGGAATACTTTTTAACAGAGTTGCTTTTGTTGGCCATATGTATAACTAATTAATTTAAAAAATAAAGGATATAACGACATTTAAAATAATAAATTGTATTTAAATGTAACAAATTAAGTTAGTCCGTACAAATAATGATGTGTCCCGCCAATTTATATTGTTAAATACTAGTAATTATTGTGGAAGGTATGGTGGCCATTGGAAGTAGCAGAAGCCACTCTGATGCATTGGAGCTCAAGTCTTATCCCCAATCATATTATCAATCCAGATTTTTTTTTTTTTTTTTTGACAAGTCTTGTGATATGAAAGCGTATGCTTTTTTCTAATTGTTTCCGAGTCAACAAGACACGAATAAAACAACAAGACGTTACCTTTAAAAAAAAAAAAATGAACACGTTTTTTAATTGGACACTCACACTCTTATAAAAGTAATGTAGATAAAAATAATAATTTTTTCAAAAAAATTAAATAAAAAATTAGTAATGTAGATTAGTTTTGGGTCCAAAAAATGGCAAGATAGCAAATTTTTATTTCACAAGGGTTGAGTTTTAAATATAAAATCACGTCATGTGAAATTGACAAAAAAAATAAATAAATAAATAAATTATTTTACATCCAAACAACGGAGCATTCATTTTTTTTTTGATATTTGATTGTCATAAAAATTTACGAAAAAAAATATATTAAAATTTAATAAATATAATTTATCCATCAATTTTTAACAAGTTATTTTACACTTCTCGTCCGATAGACTTGACCTCAGCCTTGACCTGAGAAGTCCCATAGACTTGACCTCAACCTTGATCTAAACTTCTGTCGAACACCGAATAAGTAAAAATAAAAAATATATATTTTACGTAAAAATATATATATTTTTTTAAAAAAATATTTTAAACCGAAACAAACGAAGCCGAAATGTAAAATTAACTTGTTCTATTGAAATGTTTTTGCATGACATATAATTTCATTTAAAGCGCAAACTGGATCTGTAATCAAACCAGTGGAATTGGTTTTGCTAATTAACATGCACTATTCCTTCAATGGTTTATAAACAACAATATAAGGTTTATATGTGATATTGCCAGAAATTAATATCATTGTATAGCTTTGAACAATTTATTCTTATTTCTTTCAACGATTTTAGTAACTATGGGCCTATAATATTGAACTTTAATTTTTCTAAAATTATTATTTTTCACAATTTCATCTAATTAAAAACTAGCGAAAATGAAACTGATTGTCTATGAGAAAAAATATCTCCTAGTCCCTAGGATTAATTTTACCTTGTAATTTGAAGAAAATACTGGAGTATATTTCAGACTAAAGTACAACTTTCTTCTCGCTTTTCTTCTTCCACTTCACTCCTTAATTACACAGATTAAATTTACTTCTATTCAATAGTTTGATTAACTGACTAGCTTAAAATTAAAATTTATATATCTAAAATGTTACTTAATTAATAAATGTCACCTATGATATTTATAATTTACTTGATCAATTAATTAAATTCGAATAGCTAATATAATAGTTTTACAATCTCTTTTTCCGAAAGTAAAGGGAGTAGTTTTTACAATCCAAGACAAAAATATAACCCCTGGACTATTGGCTTTATACGGGTTGTTATTGGGCCTGATTGTGGTCTGTAACAAATAGCTGAATCCATTCAACACATTAAAACTTACTAATTTTGATAACAATTCTATCCAAACAACATAAATTTCAGATCACAGTGATGTTGGTTCCACAACAAAATTTTATGCTGAGTGTTTTTGCTTCAAAAATTTTATCCCTACACATAAAAATATTTTTATTATTATTATTTTCATGATAAGAACGTTAGATTAGGAGTTAGAGGTGTGAAAGCTTGAAGCCGGCTACAAGAGTGTTCATTGCTAGAATCCATCAAAAAATTTGGTAATGATAGAAAACATGTCTATTCCCAGTTGCAATTCAATGATATCCTATGTTGCTCCCAATTTCAAATTTACGGATTCGATACTCCCAAACATAGGTTCACACCATAGAATTTCTTTTAAAATTCACCCCTTAGATTTGCATACCAAACCTATAAGTAGTTTCTTCCTAGAATTTTCAATGTTCAAATTAATGTTATCCATTTTGGCACCGTGAGAACTATTATGAGTTTTTAAGTTGGAACTCTCATCTTATTTCACTTCACATATAGTATGACAGATTAAGCTTTGAGAAACAAGGAGACTTGTGTTAGGCAGATAGCAATGTTTGGATTTCTCTGTCTCATGCCAAACAGCAGTGAGTGTCACCGAGCATATGGAGATAGCTAGGCAAAGACTACATAGCTACACACACATTTTTGACTTTGGGCATTCTCTTCTCACTTGAGACATTCAAATTTTAAACCGAGCCTTATCTTAAATGGAAGCTGAAAATATTCATTACAGGAATTGCTACATTATTTAAAGGTAATCCAGAAAGTAAAATATGTGTATGAGCCTACACTTCATCCTTTTACACTTGGTTCTTCTGTGATGAATTAGGCCTTTTTTCCCAGAACTTGAAATGCAGAGCTCTTGTCTCTAACATCTTCTCAACCTCCTCAATTGGAAGTCCCTTGGTTTCTGGAACGTAAATTAGGACAAAGAAAAGGGCAACCACAGATACCACCCCGAATATAAGAAATGTCCAAGAGGTTCCAATTGTTTGAGTCAAAGATAAGAAGGATTGAGCGACGATGAGGTTTGAGATCCAGTTTGCTGTGGCAGCTATACCTCCACAGATCCCTCGAAACCTCAATGGGTATATCTCCGAATTGACAATCCATGGAACTGTACCCATTCCAGGAGAGAAGAATATGATGTAGAGTGCCAAGCCAATAAGTGCAAGCCATCCATAATTGCTCGGACATCCCCTTGTGTACCATAACCTGTCTTCTCCATGACACATATCCTTCACGGTGTCATTTGAGAACAAACAGGCTCCCGGATTTAGCTGCAAGAAGATTAATGATGATTATAATTTTGAAGATCATTGTGATGATGACAAACATATATATACATAGAGGCTCTTTAGAGAGCACAAATCTTTATGGACACAGGCAAAAGGGACTTTTGTATCTAATCCTAACCTTTGTTTTTTTTAGGTTGAATTGAATGTGATAAATGTGTTTTTCTTGCCTGTTGAGAAGGAAGTACAAACAGTGTTTTGGTCGCCAAGAAGTTACTTTTTTGCAGTCTAGAGACCGGACTTGATTACCAATGTCAAGATTGTGTCAAGCACTACATGTTTGATGAAAAAGAACTTATGCAATTTACCTTATTGGCCGATGCAGCACAGAACCCACAATCTGGAGATGAAGCCTTCAAACATTTCATACAGTCCCATAAAGCGGAAGAGCCTGCAGAACTGTAATCCGGGCAAGTATATGCTGCAAAGTGAGACGTTGCAGTTGCACTAACAGCGGGTGAGTGAGAAGTAGTCTGATGAAAGACTGCTGATAAAAGGCCGAGTGAGATTATGACACCGAACAAACTGATGACCAGAAGCTTCTTCCTTCCAATCCTGTCAATGAAATATATGCTCACAATGGTGCCACATGCATTCAGCCCCGAGGTGACAAGTGAAAGAAGCAGAGCAGTTTGGTTAGAAGCATAACCAGCCAACTGAACTATGGTGGGGCTGTAATACATGACTGTGTTTATGCCCACAAACTGTTGGAAGACCTGAAGGCCAACACCGGCTACAAGTCCTCTTCTTACTGTTTTGGTTTGGAATAGTTTGACAAAGTTGATCTTTTCTGAATTTCCCTTCTCCCGAATTTCTGATTCTACTGATTCTTTTAGAGCTAGGATTTCAGTTTCAACTTGATCTGCTGGATAAATTTTCCTCAATATGATTTTGGCTTCCTCTTCTCTTCCCTGTTTTTCATCAAGACATGGGTGAGAATGCAAATAAATGGACAGAACTGCAATTGGAGATTTTATTGGAAGGTAAAAGCAGTAGTTGGGATGAATTCAATGACCTTGCGGTAAAGCCAACGGGGGGATTCTGGAAGAAGCAGCATCAATATGAACTGCACCAAAGCTGGAATTCCGGCAACTCCAAGCATCCACCGCCAAGTCCCTGGTGCCTAATTCAAATACCCACAGTTTTTACAAATGTCTCCTTATCAATTTTTATCAACAATTCAGAGTTTCGAAACTGATTTCAGATTTGAGTCAAGTACATTGTGTGTGTGTGAGATTCAAGTGCCAGTGTTTTTCAGTGAACTAGCACTTCTTATTGCCTCTTTTTTTCAATGTTAAATGAACTGTTACACTTAACTTTAGTGCTTGACCGATTGCTGCAGAAGTAGCCAATTAGCCATATATCTTCTTTTTGTCAAACTCTTAATGTCTCCATAGTCCATATAGTAAATTTCCAAAAAAAAAAAGAAAAAGTAAAAGAGTTCTAATGTCAAATGATATGCAGTAAATTTGATCAATTTTCATAGTGTTTATATATTACAGGACTTCATATTTGCATTGGGTATTGAATGGTCGTGTGTGTGGGGTAAATGTTATGATTGTTATCAGTGGCACATTTCATCAAAAGAGGACAATTAGCTTAACTTACAAAACTGGGAGAGGGCAAGTTGCAGCAGAAGTAGCCAATTAGCCCCATTTGTAAAACTTTTAATGTCTCCACAGTAAATTACCAAAAAATAATAATAATAGTACCAAATAAAAGAAGAAGAAAAAGAGCTCTAATGTCATATAATATGCAGTAAATTTGACTAATTTTCATAAGGTTCATTTATTACAGGACTTCATATTTTCATTGGGCTTTGAATGGTTGTGGTGTGTGAGAGAGAAACAAGGAGTACTAAATAGAAGAGACCTGTTTTGACCAAAAAGGCAAGAGTAAGCAATATATAGAGACCATAACCCTTTCTCTAGATATACAATTATGTGGGGTACAAGGATTCAAAGCATCCGTTAAACAATTAAAGAAACAATTTAAAAAACTATAAAAACATAAAACAGTTTTCACCTTTTAGAAAATTATTGTTTTCAATTTTTTTTTTTTTTTAATTATTTGGAAATAAAAAATTATTCTACTAAAATTAAACCAATCAATTCCTAGTTCTCTTAGTGCTCTCTGATTTGCACACTAAACAAAAATTTGCTGATGACATGAAAAGAAAGGGTGTGCGCATTTTGAAGTGTGGAGTGTGGTTTGCATACCTTGGTAAAGGCCAGGTTGATAAGGTAAGACAAGAACTGGCCTCCGGTGATGAGGAAGCCATTAGTACTGACCAGGGCACCCCGGATTTTTGCCGGAGAAGCTTCTGAGATGTACAATGGTGCTGTCATCGACGCCATTCCGACACCAAGTCCAACGAAAACCCGTCCAACGATGAGAACGGCCGGGTTGGGAGCCGAAGCCATGACAACAGCTCCAATAAAAAAGAGGAAGTCAGCTATTAGAATTGCAGTTCTTCTTCCATAACGGTCATTCAACCACCCACCAAATGCAGCACCTATGATTGCTCCGGCAACAGCCATGCTCACAATACTCTCCTAATAATATATCATCATGCATGGTTAATAATTTCTTTTTTAAACCTTTTTTTAGGGGGGTAAGATAAACCTATTGAAATCAAATGTTAGTGCATATGTAAAACAAATAATTGGTATTAGTGTGTGACTAAATTAGTGACACAACTAGAGTCCATTAATGATTTTCGCAGTCCTCTATGCTCAGGCCTTTTTTTTCACTTTTCTGAAAAATATATATTAATTAGGCAGTTAACTATGACAACATTAATTTTACCTACCACCAAGCAATATCTCATCTCCTCCATCCATCCACCTCATAGAAAGGACATTGAGGATTCGTTTTTCTTACCTACCAAAATTAATAAATAAATAAAAACAAATAATTGAGGACTTTTAATTTTTTGTCAAAATTTTAATAAAATTTATTTTATCCAACGTGTAGCAAAAATTGGTGATTAAACTGTAAACATATATACTTACCCAGAGAAAATAATTTATTTCTTTATTTCCATTTGTAAATTAATAATAAAAAGTCTAATTAGTATATTTATTAAAAAAATCAGACAATAGTTATAAAAGAAGGAAAAAAAAAACACATGAATTCCATCAAGGCCTTTGGGCTAAGCCGGCGAGTCTCACATGCAGTTCGACCGTGTTATGCTAGTAAAGGGTACATTTGTCATCTCAAAGTCAGGCGGAGGTTCGAAAATTACCATGGACACCCTCAATGATTGTCCTACCAAGGCTACCATCCAGCAATTAAGGGCTATAGATGAGGGCATTCCAGTAATTTTGAAGTGCAGAAGTAGCATAACCAGACTTTAGAGAAGAAAAAAAAACAGAGATTGGGCATTTAAGCCAAGAAGAAGAAGAATCAGGGGTGTTATCGTCCATATGCATTTGAAAATAACAAGAAAACTGTTAGATAAGAAGAAAACACATAGTCCAATAATAAAAGCCACACACACACACACACACACACACATAAGGGTGTTTACCTGTAGGACGGTCTCCTTATCCACAGACTTGAAGTCATCTCTGATGTAGAGAAGGGCACCCGATATCACTCCTGCACATCACAGCACCAACACCATCATGAGAGAGAAAGTAGCTAGAGAGAGAGAGACACACATATATATATATATAGAGAGAGAGAGAGAGAGGGGCAGAGGATATATATATATGTAATGATTGATGAATGGAACCTGTGTCGTAGCCAAAGAGAAGGCCACCAATTCCAGCAGAGAAAGCAAGACGAAGGACGTAAGGGTTCTTCCATGCCAGAGAAAAACAATCTCTGAAAGCCGATGCGTCTGTTCCTGGATGTATACCACCTTCCATTTCAATTAATTGATTTTTCACTTCTCTTCGGAGTCTCCAAACATGCCTTTATTCGTTAATTATATATATATATATTTGCACGCAATATGTAGAGGGAGAAAGGTGGAGCGTGTTTCCCCGATAATCAGGAAGAGTGAGAAAGGAAAAGGGCGTGAATAGCGTTTATATGGAGTGATGATATACAATGTAGTAGATGTAGGGAGATGATGTAGTGCAGAAACATTGAGACTGGAAGTCAAGTCTACCAACTTTGTCATTTAGTCACGTGATTTCAAGGGTAGGGCCCACTTTACCGAATCACCCATTGGTGACCAATCCAAATTGTGGGGGATTTTCGAGGAAAATTTATTGATAATGGCAATAATTAAATCAAGTGCACATTTAGCGTCCAACGGCAATTAAATTGAATGTTTGTTTGTATTTTTTTATTTAATTGTACTTAATGCATTAGAAATTATCCTAATTTCATTATAAAAATCTCACCAAATAGTTTAAGTAGTGGGTAGTTGTACAGTGCATTGAAAATCATCCTAATTTTTTTTATGAAAATCTCACAGGATAGTTTTTGTCTTTAATCATTCAATCTATTAATTTTTGTCAAATTGATAAATTAAAGAGATTTCATATAAATTAAAATGATTTTCATCCATTGGATATATTAAAGTTAGAATTCTATTGGTCCACTTCAGTTCACCCAATGCATGAAAAAAAATTGGATCATCAATTTGCATTAATATTCAATTTGAAAACCATTATTCAACAAATAAAGATAAGGGTATGTCTAAAGAATTGAGTTTAGGTAATAATGTTTTTCTCATAATTGTTGTTAATTACTGTATTATTTTTTGACAAATCACAATGTCTCGCACCCAAGTGTCAATATTTCACAATTGTATTAGTGGTGACTCAAATCAATGTATATTTTGATGTTTTTTTTTTCCTTTAATAATAAATTCACACTAAACTATTTTTTGTAGTTCGATGTTAAATATGAAGTATCAATTTTCTTTATCCTTTTTTTTGCTTAAAGTTATTACTTGTACTTTGGACAGGGTGACAAATTACGGCATGACACGACACGAACATAATACGAGTTAAAAGGGTTTGAATTTGGCATAAATGGGTTTGGGTCATAAAAATGTCAACACGATTAACCCGTTTATTTAACCGTATCGAGTTAGAGTTGAGGGATTTAACCCGTGTAACCCGTTTATAACCCATTTAACTCAACATGTTATAATCGTGAATATGACTTATGTGATGTGTTACTTGTTTAAACCAAATTACTATTGATAGTTAAGTTATTTCAACATTAACCTTGTTTATGCCTTATGATTTTTCTTTTTATTTTGAATATTTGGGTTAATTATGACAATTTTTTTCTATTATTTAGTATTTGATTAAACATTAAATGTCTCGTTTTGATAAACAGGTCATTAAACGAATTAAATTAGTGTTGAGAATTCTTGACAAAATTATTAAATTGGTTAAGTTTGAGTTTAACCATTTAGTATAACACTCTTACATACACGATTATGACCCATGAACACGAATTGTCACCCATAACTTTGGGACAAAAAGTTTTCCATCTTTTTTATGTAATACAAGTAAACTATATTATTGATTATTTTAAAGATATTAAATTCTTATTTTTAAAGAGTATGTAACTTCTGTAAACATATTAAACTTCCTATTTTATCCTCATTGGAGGTTAGGAGGATGATTTGCCAACTATTCGGCAGTTAAACATGATCCGAAAGTTATAAAGTGAAAGTATATTATTAACATATTTCTTTTTGTTTTTCGGTTTATATTATTTAGGACCATGGATTGAACCCAAACATGTTATGGAAATAGATATTCTCCTTAACCAATCCTTGGAACTTTATGTTTGTTTCAAACTGGGACTTGTTCAAACTGTTAGCTATATACAATAATAAAGTATTTAAAGCAACAAAAAAAAAAACAAATTAAATACTTAAAATCAAATAATCTTGATTTTGTTAATTTATAGGCTAGTGGGGTTGCTTGATGACTAATAAGTGATAAAGGCATGATAATAGTTGTTTTTTTGTGATGACCAGAACCATATTAGTCTATTTTATGATAAAATTAGTCAACTTCTTTCAGTGTGTAATATATATATATATATATATAACACTTTTCATATGATAAAAAGAAGCGCCATTAAAATATAATGTTGAAATGGTTGTTTATGTTTAATTCAAAGGGATGAGGTCATCTGAGGAGACTAAAAATTCAAAACTTTAATTATCAAATCTGCATCTGATTAGCAATCCAATTATAATCCGCATCATGCTTTGAATAAATTATTGTTATATATAATTATTTCCAGTGATGATAATGAAGAACCAATTTAGACTAGGGTGCAATTTGAATTGGTTAATTCTAACTCAACCCGAGTCCAACTTGATTTTTCAAAAGTTTGGGTAATCATTTTTATAATTAGAGTTGGGTTTGGGTTGAAGAACTAGCAACTCGAACCCGAATTTTAATATTATTTTTATATATATTTTTACTTTTAAATACATTATATATAATATTTAAACTATGATTACTTTTTTTTTTTTTTTCAACTTGTTTTGCTAAATCTTAATTTATTGTATGTTAACATTTAAGAAAATTAATTTTCTAAAAATTTGTTTGTAAATTATTAAAAATTTACAAAAAGTCTTTAAACTTTTTTTTGTTTAAGAATAATTTAATATAAAATTAATTCAAGATCATATTAAATTTTCGGTTTAAAGATTAATCATATGAGTAACCCGAATTAAATCTGAAGTTTTTACTTGGAATGTAAGTCCGAGTTGCAAGTACGAATTTAAAAGTAAAAGGATGGGTTGGACTTGAGTTGAGTAGTTAAGGTTGATAATAGAGTTAGAATTAAGCTTGAGTTTAGCATTTCATATGATAAATTGAGCTCAAATTATATCTCAAATTCGTTCAACTCGTTGAGTTGCGGTCCTAATTTAAACACGCTATACTACCATTGTTGGAAGTGTTGAAACCTTACATTATAAATCAAGAACACTGTTCATAAAGTTCAAGACACGACACGTACTCCACTCTGTACACATGACTTTGGACTATAATCTAAACATGGTAGGCCCTAATCATTCAAAGTTGATTACTTGATTGTTCATTTTTTATTTATTTATTTTTTGTTACCGTTGAAGTATTCGTCTTTATGGATATAATTTTTTTATGACATTATAGTTAGAAAATAACTTTCTTGTATCCATGATACTACGACATCTGTGAAAAAAGATTTATTTGTACAAAATATAATAATCTTCGGTTGATTGAAACACGCAACAGTTTATGTATGTATTTTAATTACCAATTCTATCATGTTCAAAACTTTATCAGTGTAAGCAGACATCCTCAATTATTAAATGAGGAGAACTAAAAAATTCTTAATTTGATCAAGAACATGATACGTTAAAACATTTGTAATAATTAAATTGTGATGTTTACACTACACGTGTTGAAAAGTATATTTTCTTAACCATGTTCTATTATAGAGTGAGAAAAATAAAGAAAAAGAAATTGAGCCATGCATCCTATTTCCAATGTAATTTTTATTTTAGAAAAATAAAGAAAAAGAAATTGAGCCATGCATCCTATAATAAACTTTACTTTTTTAAAAAAAAAAATTAACAATAAAAATAAATGAATAAATAAAAGAATATTTTTACAAATGAAAATGTGACAACAACAACATTTGACAAGTGTAGTAATTGGTTCCACAAAAATAATTAAAAGCCACTTTAGTTAAAGGGAAGATGTAATGGATGGAGAAAATGAACCGCAACAGCAACTGATCCCAAAAAAAGTGATTCCCTCGCGTTTGGCAGGTACATCTCATGTGGCTTCATTATTGGTTGTTTTGTTGTTGTTATATCACAATAAATTAATAATTAAATATAAAAGGAAAGAAAGAGACGTAATCATCAAAAAAAGATCAAACATGTCACTGTTATATACGTAGTACTAGTAGCACCTAATGTGGTACTGTACGTTACTACATACGTGCGTGTGCATATTCAGAACCACTTTCTTACACTTGTGAATGTTTTTTAGAAGGGCATAATTTAATTGAAAAAATGACAAAAAATTATTTTGAACCGGTGATTTTGAGTGATTTTGAGTAAGGGTGACAAATTACGACATAATATGATAATACGACATGAGTTAAAAGGATTTGAGTTTAGTATAAGAAGATTTGGATCATAAAAGGGTCGACACGATTAACCCGTTTACTTAATCGTGTCAGGTTAAAATTGAAGGGTTTAACTTGTGTAACTCGTTTATGACTCATTTAACTCAATATGTTATAATCGTGAATATGACCTATGTAATATTTTATCTGTTTAAACCCAATTACTATGAATAATTAAGTCATTTCAACATAAATCTTGTCTATGTTTTATGATTTTTCTTTTTATTTTGAATATTTGAATTAATTATGATAAATTTTTTCTATTATTTAGTATTTGATTAAATATTAAATGTCTCATTTTGATAAACTGGTCATTAAACAGATTAACACGTTTACCTGTTTAATAAACGGGTTGAGTTAGTGTTGAAAATTCTTAACACAATTATTAAATAGGTTGAGTTTAAGTTTACTTATTTAATACAATACCCTTACACCAACACTACACAAACACGACCCACAAACATAAATTGCCACCTGTAATTTTGAGTTTATAAGGGAAGAACCTTTTTCTTGTATGTATTCAGAGCCCATTTTCTATATTTGTGAAGGTTCTTAGATGGATATAAATTTATTTCGATCTTAAACGAATAAAATATAAATTTTAAAAAATGAATAAGAAAAGTGCATATATCCATCTTACTTTATTACGGGGCATTAAAATATATATTGGATGGAGTTTTTTTTTAGCATTATTGGGTTGGAGTTCAATATAGAGAAAACAAACCCAATTTCCTTTCTACAAAGTTACATCAAAAGGTCCCTTTTAAAGTCCACTTGAAATTTAATTTCTATCCAAAACTTGATCAAAATTCTAAAGTGTACATACATTATTCTGAATCTATCTTCTCCTTTTCTTTTTTACTTTATTTAAAGGGAAAGGAAGTAATAAAGACCCTTTCGACATAGACAACAACAAAACATAATTTACAAAGTAGTATGTTTTTGTTTTTGTTTTTGTTTAGTTAGATCTATTCATATTTAGTTTGTTTCTGATTAGTATGGGTGGATTTGCTAGTACCCGACTCAATCTAATATTTTTTCCTTTGATTTGATCTTGTGCTAGTTTTGGGTGGTTTTCTCTCTGTTGGAGGCGCCTTATGGATATAGTTTTGGAGCTGTTATTTTGATGATGGTCAGATCTTTGGATCACTCCTGTTACTGCGTTTCTCTCTTGGTGATTTCCGTTGTAGAGCTTTGACTCCTTTTCTCACCAAATCTGGAGCCTCTTCCTCATTTTTTCTTATTTTGTTTTAAAATTTGTATGTCTTTTTCTGGCTTGATTTTTTGACTCTGTACTGCAACAATGATGATAAAAAATAAAAAAATAAAAAATAGGATACGACATGGGATGGTTGATTTTTTTTTTTTTTTTTTTAGATTTAATAAATATTTATAAACACAACCCCACAAATGCTCATCATAAGATTTGAACTCTCACTTCTATATTTCATGATAGTTTTCGAACTTCAATGTAGAGCTCCGGCTCCCGTTCTCACCAAATTTGGAGTATGTTTCTCATTTTTTCTTATTTTGTTACAAGATTTGTATGCCTTTTTCTGACTTGGCGTTTTGGCTCTGTATTGCACTTGATGACTTGATCTTTATGCCTTTCTAATGATAAAAATAAAAAAAACAAAACAAAACAATAAAAAATACATAGGACATGTACGTTGCAATGAGTATAAGATTATAATTAACGAAAAAAAAAAAAAAAAAAAATGAGTATAGGATCATATTAAAGCTTGGTCAAAGTTTTCCTTCGATTTTTTTTTTTTTTTTTTTAATTTTTTACATTTAGTAAACATTTACAAACACAACCCCACAAATGCTTATTATAAGATTTGAACTCTCACTTCTAAATTTCATGAAAGTTTTCGAACTTCAATATATGTTTGTGTGTGTGTGTTTTTTTTTTAAATTATAAAATATACCCTACAAACGAATAAAATATAAACTTTAAAAAATAAATAAGAAAACTGCATATATCCATCTTACTTTATTATAGGGCATTAAAATATATATTAGATGGAGTTCTTTTTAGCATTATTAGGATGGAGAGAAAACATACCCAATTTCCTTTCTACAAAGTTCCAGGAAAAGTCATAGTCAATGGTAACCTTTTAAAGTCCACTTGAAGTTTAATTTCTATCCAAAACTTGATCAAAATTCTGAAGTGTACATATAATATTCTGAATTTAACTTCTCCTTTTCTTTTTACTTTATTTAAAGGGAAAGGAAGTAATAAAGACCTTTTAGACATGGACAACACCAAAACATAATTAACAAAAGTAGTATGTTGTAAACAAAACAATAAAAATTACATAGGACACTTACGTTGCAATGGAGTATAAGATCATAGAGAAAAGAAAAAAGAAGAAAGAAAAAAGTATAAGATCATATTATGTCACATATTAAAGCTTAGTCAAAGTTTTCCCTCCATTTTTTTTTTTTTTTTTTTTTTATAGATTTAGTAAATATTTACAAACACAACCCCACAAATGCTCACTTTTATATTTCTATGATAGTTTTCGTGTGTTTGTGTGTGTATGTTTTTAAAATTATAAAATAATATGGGACAATGATTGACATAAACATTTAACAAAAGCCGAGTATATTTTAATGTCAAAATAATATTTTCCAATTCTATTCACAGGTACCAAAACCAATCGATTTCTGTATCATTTTTCTAAATAATGCTCACATCACATGATTCAACTAATATACCAGTATATTCAACGAATCAGATTTTGATGCTTTTACTTGCTTTTAGTGTGGTTCTTTAGCACGTGGCGCTGACCAAAGGAGGTATTGAAAAGGACAAGGCTTGCTACACACACACACACACATATATACTTTGAATAAGGTGGGGGTCTCAACTAGTAATCTTTTTGATGAATTATACCACCACCACATGTTCCATTCCTACTTTTATCCATTCTCTTGTCTTCTCTAGTTTTTTCTTTGCAAAATGGTTTTCGCTTGCAATCAGTCAAAAATGACGTCCATGAATCCTTATCATCGCCATCAAATCATATATATTTTTCCTGGTTAAAAGACATGGTTTCATTTTATTATTTATTTATTTTTGTCAATCTTACTCGATTTCAAATTATATTATTTTGGTTTTTTTCCTTTACATTCATATAAGATAATGGTACTAATGTATAGATGTGTGCAAGTGCAAGCAATTATAATTAAAGATAACAAATTACGACACGATAATATGACACGAACACGATATAAGTTAAAAAAGTTTAGATTTGACATAAACAAATTTGGATCATAAAAGGGTCGACACGATTAACTCGTTTACTTAACCGTATTGGGTTAGGGTTGAGTAGTTCAACCTGTGTAACTCGTTTATTTCCCATTTAACTCAACACGTTATAATCGTGAATATGACTTATATAATATGTTACCTGTTTATTACTATGAATAGTTAAGTCATTTCAACATAAACCTTGTCTATGCCTTATGATTTTCTTTTTATTTTGAATATTTGGATTAATTATGACAAAATTTTTCTATTATTTAGTATTTGATTAAATATTAAATGTCTCGTTTTAATAAACAGGTCATTAAACAGATTAACAAACTTATCTGTTTAATAAACGGGTTAAGTTAGTGTTGAGAATTTTTGACACGATTATTAAATAGGTTAAATTTAAATTTATCTATTTAGTATAACATTCTTATACCGACACGACACGAACAAAACCCGCTAACACAAATTGCCACCCTTTTAGAGCATCCGCAGTGGGCTTGCGGAAGGCCCTTTCCGCGAGTCAAACAAACCAAACTCACTCCAGCAGCCTCGTGGAATTGGGCGGGGCCCACAACAGCTTGAGGCCCGGCTCGCGGTATTCCGCTAGCCCGAGCCCAATCGTGGAAATTTTTTTTTGTCTTTTTCCTTAGCAAAGCGACGACGTTTTGCCTGAAGCGGTTTTTCTTTTTCTTTTTTCACTTCAGGCTGCAACAGTTTTTTTTCCTTAAGGCACTGTTTGGCAGCCTAGTTTTTTTTGAAAAAATCCAAAATATGTTATTTTGAGCTTATTTTTTTTAAAAAAAAATAAAATAAAATTCAGTAAATAAAAAATATATTGTTTAGACACTTTTGTCCAAAAAATAAATTATTTGTGCCAAAAATAAATTAAAAAACCTTTTTTTTTGTTTTTTTTCCCTTAAGATTTGATTTTTTTTAAAAAAAATTTTGCTTTAAATTTTAAATTACAGCCATAAATAGTACATTGGACCGTTAAGGCACTGTTTGGCTGACACAAACAGTGCCTTAAAGGTTATAATATTGTAAATTTTTTTTAAAAAATTCAATTTTGTAAAACTTTTTTTTAAAAAAAATAATTAAAATTAAAATTTCATTTTCTTATTCTTTCTTATTTTCTTATTCTAATTCATTATTTTTAATCTTAAAATTTAATTTAATTTATTTAATTTTATTAATTTTTTTTTTGGAAGAGTAAAAATTTGAAGAGCCTAATGAAGTGCATATTTTTGGAGAGCGAAAATTACTACCGTGACTTTTGAAATTACTGACGTGACTTTTAAAAAAGTTGAAGTGAAATATTTAAAAAGCTAAAATTTGAAGAGGATGGTGCAAATAGCCTTTGGACCATCGCTAACATTCCTCATTATTTGTGTCATTGTTTTGTTTTCGTTTTTATGTGGTATTGGACATAGCACAATTTTATTTACAGACCCCACAGTGCGGACATTTTGCAGAGAAAAAACATACAATGTGGGGCCCTCTTGCGTGCTACGATTGCTAGCTGGTTACTCTTATCTAAAACCTTAAAGTAGGAAAATGGGAAAAGTAGTAGGAAAAAGGAGGACATAATGAAAGGGTATTTACATTACGTTACGTTACGTTATTTATTTATTATTTTAAAATTTAGACTCTATTTATTTGAACATAAAATATTTTTATTTTTATTTTTTAGTATTTGGTTACAATAAAATATTTATAAAAAAAATATTAAAATTTAATAAAAATAATTTATTCATTAATTTTTAACAAATTATTTTATATGCCCCTCCTGAAGAACTCGACCTTAATCTCGACATACACCTTTGCCAAACACCAATAAAATAAAAATAAAAATAAAAGAATATTTTATCTGAAAAAAAAAAATTTTAAAAATTTTTAAGTCCAAACAAATGAAACCTTAAAGTAAATCATATTCATTATTCACAAAATATCATGTTACGTTTGGGATTCTTTATCCACAAAATGTCATGTTACGTTTAATCGGTACCTTAAATTTAGAATTTGAGGTAGTTTAATTCAGAATTTGTATTAAATTTTTTCTAATTTCAAATTTAAAATGTCAATTCAACACCGTTAAACATAACAAAATTCAAATTCTCAAACTCCAAAAAAGAAAAAATAATACCATTAAAATAGAGATCTTTGATACAATTATGTATTCAATCTTCAAACAACACTCTTTTAAAAAAAGGTGAAATAGATGCTGTTACCATCAAGATTGACAATTCTTTTTACATTAATAAAAAAAAAAAAAATGCATATGTAGACATCGGGTGCATTAAACATGAAATTACTCACTACTAAATTTATTATTACTCAAATACTAGTAGTAGTAGTTCACATCACATCACATGTTTTAACTTGAAGATGGTTGTTGACTAACAAGTGACAATTGGCGCATTATATGAACAAAATGTATCCAATTATCCATATTGTACAATTGGCATATGTTTTCTACCCATTGTGGATTGTATTTGCTGTGACATTCATTTTGTATGTTCATGTTGTTTTAAAGCCATTGGTTAGTTATAATATCAACAAATGATATACCATATTGTACTGTGTGTTGTTTTTTAAGTGCCACCAAAAGGGCAATCATGTAACAAATTAAACATTTGGATGTTATCCACGACGTAGTAGGTCAAGTGAATTCAGATACAATTTGATTAGATCATATCATCACACTCAACCACAAAACTCCAAAAAAATCACACTGTTGTCCGTTTCAATGTCCTATATCCAAGGATGACCAAGAAATGAAGACTCTGAAATAATCACTCTCTCTCTCTCTCTCTCTCCAAACACAACAAAACCATTAATCAATATCCAAACTCTCAAGACTTCGTGAATGCACACATTGATAAACCAAATCAAGATCACCTCTAAATCCACAGCAGTACCCTTTTAATTTCTTCCGACATGACAACAATTAGTAGCAAATCAACCTCTTATGGCATCTAATAATGGACAGGGACTACAAACTAAAACCAATACCTTCACTAAAAAAGCTAAAATCGGATTCAACAATCGTCAGAGAAGATTCAGACGTCGACGATCATCAATACACGAGCTTGAAGGACATTATTCAGAATTCACCGCCACACTATGCAACAAACAATGAGCCCAATGGCTTTGATTCTTCCAACATTTCCATTCGGAACGAGTTGGTCAAGCATGCAGCGTCGGCATACGTTCAATCAGCACAGATTCTGACTAACCGAAACCAGAATTGCTTTGCAAACCTTTGGAGGAAGATAGAGAACAAGGTCGTGTATCATTCGTGCTGGCAACTATACGTCAGGAAGCCATTGAGAGCTTGTTTTCATCCCATATTTCGATTTCTTGATTGCATCGTTAATGGCATTGGGAGAAGTAGTGTGGGAGGAGAAGAATCGCACGATACTCCTTTGATTAATGGAGTTTTTATCAAGGTATGATGAACTATTTTTTGCCATTCAATTTGTTGGGTTTTTATTTTTTATTTTTATAAATATGATGCTATATAATGAGATTCATCCATTTGTAAGAATGTGATGTATTTATTTGATATGTAAAGTGTAATTGCTTGTTATTGGAAGGAAAGATTCAGAGGAAAATTGCATTGTAAATAGTTGAAGATGTATTTGTGAAGTATAATGATTGTTGGTGAATGATGAGGAAAAATGCAACATGAATATGAAAAATGAGTCCCCCTATGGTGCAAAGCACAAATGGGACCCTGCATCTTCAAAATGGGCCTGCTTTACGACCGATGACATAATGAGGATGTCTCTTGACGAATTTGAATTCATCCATTTGGTCATGTGCAATGTCTAGGTTCAAAAATAATACAAGATTAATTAACAACAATTTTGGGGCTTGTTAGATCAATCTTTATTTACCCAATTTTTCTTGGATGTCCTACGTAGAATTTTCTTTTTAACCAAACATTTTTCGGTTTTCCCCATATTTTAAAACATTCTACAATCAGAAATGAAGGGGTGAAAACTAAGTAAAAAAAATTCAGGGTCATTTTTATGCGACATTGGCTTTAACATTACTCGACCCAGGTGCAGGAGCTTCACTATAGATCATATAGGTAGGATTTCGTAAATAAGTTGTTCGTCTTTCATAAATATAGGTAGGATTAAAGTTGCAAAAGCAATAAATACAAATGGAATACTTCAATGAGCAATGCTGAGTGACTGACTGAGTGAGTGAGGAAAGAAATTGAGTAAGAAGAAAGATAGAGAGCGAGAGAGAATTGCGGAAAAGAAATAGATACAGAGAGAAGATAGAACCAGTTTTAGAGCTGGAAAGAGTCAGGGAAGCTTTGTGCAGGACTCCAATGGAGGAAACATTGACCCTCATCGATTCATTACCAATTGTGATTTATTATTTATTACCCAGTGTGATTTATTATCAGTAGAGACATAAACATTTGACATCATTTGTACAAAGTAAGCAAGCCAAGACTTCCATCATCACATTATATGGCTCCTACCCTCTCGTACACAACATTCGGCTTCTCGCTTGGAAAACTTTGAAATATGTCCCATGGGCATTATTCAACAGTGAAACAAACACATCCTCAGCTGAATTCGGAACCAAGGCATCCGAATCCGACTTACCAAGAAAAATAACCTAGACAACTCAGATTTCTTCCATGAAGAATGTGTGTAGTTTGCAATCACGGTTAAAAAAGTAGTAGCAGGATTTGCAAAATGTTTATATGAAGACGTGTTTATATCAGATATCATTTTTTCATGGCAAACCAAATACCTGTTCTTGCAATTATCCGCGCTGCATGAATCATAAAATACCAGAGGTTATATTCGAGTGTCTAGTGCATCAGTAATTAGCAACTAAAATGGAGCCACTAATAGGTTGGTTTCTCGCTGTTAGGTCTTTTACAGGTGCTAAAGCATGGCATATTTCGGAATTCTTTACGCAGAATTTTCCCATTAGTTGCTTCCAAGAACCAAGAAACCAATATAACAATACTAATAAGAACAAAGTGCTCAAGGCCATTTAAGGTACTGAATAGTGGCATATTATATCCAAAATAATAACAATAATAGTAGCAATAATAATGAAAGGACGACATCGTTACCGAGTTCTGTCGCCCTTCTCATCCTGTTCGTGGCCTCTGGCACCGACCAGTTGCTATATCAGTGAAAAAATAATCTAATAGGCTCCCCTTCTAATTCCTTTCTTCAAAGCTGAAGTTTCTAAATGACTAAAATCACATCATAAGATCAGAAAGAACCTTGTCAAATTCAACACTTTTCTGTCCGATTTCCTAATTCCAAAGAAATCAGAACACATTTTGTAGGATCATATACAGATATCAAGAAAAGAACCATTGTGCCTATTTCATAGGCTTCACTAGAAACAAGTGTCAATGTTTATGATAATTTAAATTCCAACAAGATCCCACTCGACCAGAGCAAGAGTCTGATATGTACAATACAATAATGATCCATACAAAATAAAGACTTCTAGTAGATCCTACCATTTGCTCTCTGAAAGTCTGCTTTCAGTATTGTTGGAAAAGGCAATTTTTATGCAGCCACATAGATTTCCATTACACACCAAGGTACAAGCATTCTGTAAACAGTCACAATGCAACAATAAATACAAGACTGAACTCGAGGTATGATCTTTACTGGAATTAAGGTAAGGTACAAAATGATACCTAGCGAGTTTTTTTTTGGCGTTTAGGAGGCCTCATCGTTCCTTTCCTCGGATTCTCCGGAGTTTTAGTCTCCATTTTCGGCTGCAAGCATTTTGAGGACCAACTATAAGTAAGCAATTGTTAGGAGAGATCATTCCATGAACCAACAGAACATAAGCTTTGGAAAGCCATCAATTGGCAAACAGTATTAAAGAGGCATTATTTTGAATATAAAATAACTATGACTTTGTGCAAAACCCATGTCCCAAGAAATATCATGCTCAATCAAGAGTAAGAACATATAAACCAACGATTATTCAGGCTTCTAACAGTATCAAGCAAGAATGATCAATCACAGAAAGAGCCAAGTCCCTCGGCATACTGCATGTGCAAATGTAGTCAAAATACAGATCACTAAGTTTAAATAGGAGGAAAGCATAATGATTTTCATGTCTTAAAAATTTTCAATTTTATTTCATATATTGATCTTTGAATCAGATAATTTTTCTACAACCATCTTCAAATCAGATTCATCACTGATAATGTCCAGCAACTTTACCATGAGATTGTAGAAAGGACTAAGAGTGTTTTCTACAATCTCATAGTAAAGTTGCTGGACATGATTATCAGTGACGGTAGAACAAATCAGATTACTGACAAGTGGTCTTATAGACCAATATGTCCAACTGCCTTTCCTCGGGGAGTTGGGATAGCTCCAAAAATCAAATCTTCAAGCTCCTCTGAGCTTACGAGGAGAGATGTGGAGCCTATGGACTAGGTTTAAGAACTTGACAACTCAGACCATAAAAAATGTTCATGAAAATTAAAGACAATGACAATATTTATAAAGATAGAGAAAAAAGCTCCTCAAGATATAAAAGGAATAAAACAAAAATGAAATAATGCCACAAAATCCCCAAACTCCAACCGTCTCCATGCTTTCTCCTTACCAATATCGATCCTATATGAAAACAAAGACTCCAAACCAGTCTTCTCAAATAGAGAATAAACATAAGCATCCTTCTAGTTGCATGTCTCCTTTCTAATTCAACTCTCCTAACAAGAAGCTCATAACTGGTGTTTGTAAAATAAACATTAGTTAATATTTAAAATAGGACAAGATGTAAAGGGCCAAAAAAAAAAAAAACACAGAATATGCCTTTTTTAGCATCACACTGAAAAATCCTTCATATTAAGAGCGCATTTCAAACAGCTGAAAAGTTACATGTCTAGCAAAATTCCAAAGTCAATGGTTATACAACACAGCTAACAGGAATCAAACAAAGAGATGTATCAAGAAGAAAAAAAAAACAGGAAAAAAAAAAATTTCATGATCCATGAAGAGGAGAAGAAATTAAGGTTATTCATAACAGACTACACAATGATATGCTAAAGAGTAAGATAAGATACCATATAGCACAATGGCTTTGGATTGAGATGCATGGATGATGCTTATATATTGATCAATGTGTACTTTTCCGATAGGCTAATAACTTGATTACAAATAAATAAATCATCCAAAAATAATAATAAAGGTATCATTTCAGTTCATGAAAAGCCACGTTTATTTTCAATATAATATATGAAACATGCAGAGTTAAAAAATGCAAAAATTAAACTAGATGGTACTATTTCTAACCTCCTCCCATCTTCTTTGGAGTTCCAGAAGTTCTTGACAATATGCAAGGCACTCTGTGTGGTATACCGCTGCTAAGTCTTTTATCAAGGCCTTCCTTTTAATGATACCAATCACTTCAAAAGCACCAAAAGCGAAAAAATATAAAATAAAATAAAAACAAAAAGAAAGAAAGAAAGAAAAGAGAAGTAAAGTTAATTGTAAAAGGAAATGGGAGATATAAAAAACAAAAACAAATTGCATGGCGAGTTTACTCTAGTGACAAACATAGAAGTCTTTAATCTTCGATGAAAAACAAAAACAAATTGCATGGGGAGTTTACTCCAGTTACAAACATAAAAGTCTTTAATCTTCCATGAAAAACAAAATCAAATTGCATGGGGAGTTTACTCCTGTGACAAACATAAAAGTCTTTAATCTTCCATGCTAAAGTTTCAGCCAACGGCCAAAGCCATTGTATCACTGTCGTCAAGGACTGGAGTGGCATCTGAAGCTAAAGGTTTATTGCTTTGATTTTTGCCATTGAAAGAAAGAAAGAAAGGCCAATAACTCACATTTATGGATCAAATATCTTATTACAACTCAACAGTTAATTGAAGAACATCAATATCCATTCCATTTACAAGCTAAACGAAACCAAATCCCAGATCCAAGAAATAACATATCCATACAATAGAACAAAAATAACTCAAATCACTTTGAATGTACAAAAGATAAGTCAGATAAAACATAAACTAATTTCTACCTTTATTTCTATGACTTACACATGGCTTTCATAGACTTAGAGAACTCATAGGATAGAGTACCAAGAGATGTAATTTGGGAATTTTATGAAGAAAACATAATTTTTCTGTAATGTAAAATTAAACCAAGAAACAGTACTAAGGCCATATATTCCCAATAATCTTAGATGAAATAACAAAAGACCTACAAGGAGACATGTCATGGTGCATGTTAATTGCAAATGACAGCGTGTTACTGGATAATTCCAAGAAAAAATTATCATTAAAAAACTTGGAAAAATGCATTAGAGTCAAAAGGCTTAAAAATTAGTCGAACTAAAACAAAATATATGGAATGCAAATTTAATAATATTAAAGAAAATGAGAATATAGCAATAACAATTCAAGACCAAATCATAACTCAAAGTGGTCATTTTTTATATATAGGATCAATTTACAAAAGGACAGAGAGATTAATGATAATATAAGTAGTAGGATTAATGGTGGACAAAACAAAGGTAAGCTAGTGGTGTTTTATGCAATAAACATATACCAAACAAGTTGAAAGGAAAAGTATATAGTACTGTCGTTAGACCGGCTATCTCATCCAAAGCAGAGTTTTGCACATCAAAAAACAAACAAAAACAATGCAATCATGTAACAGCATGCGAATGTTGAAGTAAATCTTAGGAATAACTAGAAGAGATATAAATTTAATAATCAATATGTAAGAATGAAATTAGGAGCAGTGGGTATTAATGAAAAATAAGAGAAAGTAGACTCAGGTCGTACGGTTATATTCAACACAAACCTGTAGATCCTCAGTGAGAAAAATATCCTCGGTGAGAAAAATAAGATTGATTTGCATAGAAAATAGAAGACAGAGTTCGACCAAATTTAACATGGGATGAGATTTTTTTTTAAAAAAAAAAAAATTGACCTTTAAATTTTAATCTAATAGGACACAGGGCTTATGCGTTCTTTCGTAACCCATTTCTTGAACATCTATTTCCTTTTCTTTTATTATATATGCTTCCTATTGCGCTTATTTCCCTTCAGTTTCAGGAATCAATATATATCAGAAGGAACTTTTCAGGCATATCTCTTCTTCTTCTCAGAACATGTCACCTAACGTTTATTGAAGCAAGCACTTACATAAATCATCCCACTCACTAATTGGTTTCCTTGTAGACAAATCTCAGTAATAGACTAATAGTGAATATCAAAGACAAATTCCATTATCTTTAATCATCAAATCTCAATTAACCACGCTACCCAATTAAATTCAACCTCAAATTATTGACAAGACCAAGATACTGAAGTTGAAATTTTAAAAAATCTAACAATACGTACCTATCAAAAAAATAAAAAAAAATTCTAACAATAAGCAAGTCCAACTAATGATCATAAATCACTGTGTTCATCCGCAAAATTAACCGTGACTTTAAAAACAAAAAATAAATATAAAACACTACCAAGATAAATCCATAACCAACACAATAGAAAGCAGGATCTTCTGAAAATAGCAATGTAAACAAGAAATACTATATAGAGAGTCAACCCTAGAAATCGTCATATTGTTCAGCAGTAAGAACAGAGAAAGCAAAACAATTAACCATAACCTATAGTGGCAAAGTGCTACATCAAATGGATTTTTCGCAGAACGTTCTCACACAAACCCTATAATGAGTGGGACAAAGATGGAAGTAATACAGAGACGGAGAAATTTACTTCGGCTGGGATCGAATCGAGGCGGCGGCGGCGGCGGAGGAGGAGGATCGTCACATGATACGGACGGCGGCGGAGGAGGGGGATCGTCGAGTGAATCGGGTGGCGGAGGACGGGAAGAAGGGTGGGGTTCGAGTTCACCCATTAGTCTTGACACACTGGCACCCTCATGCCATGCCCCCTCTTTCTATGATTTTTTCTGGGCTCTGCTACTGCTACAATCATTGATCAATATAAGTCCATATGTCACGGAGTTCAAAAGTTGTTTTTTTTTTTTTTTACTGATTTTTTTTTTTTTTTTTTTAATTTTATACTCCTGTAATAATTACTAGTAATAGCTATATAAAGTAATTATTTATGAGTAATTAGAGGCTTTTCCTTTTCCTTTTTTTTTTTTTTTCCCCTTACACCAAAAAAAAAAAAAAAAAAAAAAAAAAAAAAAAAAAAAAAAAACCTCTAATTAAATTAGTAATTAAATTAGTAGAGGCTTTCACTTTGGGAAGAAAAAAAAAACTGTAAAGCTTTCACCAAAAGTAATTCGCGATTAATAAAAGTATCAACATATTATTATTCCATATTTATTTTTCAATTGACCATGCACTCCCTGTCTTTATGAAAGATAAAAAATAGAGTAATTCGCTCAAAAGAGCTTAGAGTTATAAGATTGAGATGTCAATTTAATTATTTATTTTACTACATCTTTAAGTATTTGTTATATCACACGTGTTAATACGGTCGGCATATCTATTATTTTCTTTTAGAGTTTTTTTGTCACATAAAGAATGGATCTGATAGAGAAATGCGAATGTAGAAGAGATAGAGAGTGATGCACCGTGGATCTCACATAGAGATACAGGAGAGAGTCTGTTAGAGAGAGAGAGTAAAATATGAAGGGGTTAGAGAGAGGTTTTCACATTTAAAATTTTCAAATAGGAAACGCTTTAAGTTGTTAAAATCTTGTCTTTGTTGCAGTGAAAATGTTCTTTTTTAAGTTTATTGATGGTGGCTATGAGATAAGAAAGAAGTTTAGCTAAAGTTTGAATTTTAATAAATAACTTGAATTATAGGTTTGGATTTTGAGTTAGAACATTTCAATAAATGAGTTAATGTCTAAAAGTCTCAAGATTTTTTTAGTACAAATTACAAAAATGTTCATGATAGATCATATAAAATTCACAAACATGATTTATTTTTAGTTAAAAAAAAAAATTCACTTTGTAATTTTTTTTTTTTTTGCCCCATTAATGTTGACCTCACTTGATTCGTTTGAAATTTTTTTTTTTTGGGAAAGTGATTTGTTTGAGAAGAAAAATAGAAGAAGAAGATAAATCTATAAAAATTATAAATTAAAGAGTATTTATTCGATTTTCTTATATTGCAAATCGACCCATCCTATAATCGAGCCTCGCCCATCGATACAGGCCCATTTAACCTAATATCCAGAGCCCAGCACAATTCATTCCCTCATACCAAAACCACTCTCTTCTTCATCAGGGTTTTAGCGAGAGAGAGAGAGAGAGACGGAGGTTTTAGAGAGAGAGTAAAGATGAGTTTGGTGGCCGGTTCATACGATCGCTTCATATGGGGCATCAAGATCAGAACACTAAAACAATCCCAAGCCCTAACCCTAGTCAAACTCTTCAACTATCCCTCCCACATCTCCTCCATCAAGTCCGTTGCCGTCTCCGGCTCCGTGGCCGTCTCCGGTGGCGCCGACGACACCATCAAGATCTACGACCTCTCAACCTCCTCGGAAATCGGCAGCCTCACCGACCACTCCTCCAGCGTTACCGCCCTCTCCTTCTTCACCCCGCCCTCCCTCTCCTTCCCCCGCAACCTCCTCTCTGCCTCCGACGACGGCTCTGTCTGCATCTACGACGCCGACCCTTTCGTCCACCTCAAAACCGTGAACGCCCACAAGAAGGGAATCAACGACCTCGCAGTGCACTCCTCGGGGAAGTTAGGGTTGACGGTGGGTAGAGATTCATGCTTGGCTTTGTTGAATTTGGTGAGAGGAAGGCGGAGTTTTTATTGTAGGTTGGGAAAGGAAGCATCTATTGTGAAGTTCGATTCCAGCGGAGATAAATTTTACATGGTAATGGAGGAAAAGGTGTCGGTCCACGACTCTGAGGACGCAAGATTGGTCTTTGAATTTGATAATGAAAAAAGAGTTCTTTGCGCTGCACCTGGCACGGTCAGTTCTTCTGATCATAATTTATGTGTGTGTGTATATATATATATATATATATATATATTGATAAGTCATAATATATATATGTATAGAGTATTATTATATTTTCAACTAAATTTCGTATTCTGCAATTTCTTGCTTGGAAATAGTTTTGTGAATTTTTTTGAATGAAATATTGATTGCATTTTGTAAAGTTTTCAATTTTGGATGTGGACAAGTATAGAATTATTGATTGTAATGTGAAATACATTTCTCAGGCTATTAGCAAACCTAAGAAAATCACTTTTAATATTTTAAGCTATATAGATTGTGCAAGTGGCCTTTTAAATTTTGTAAGTGATTAATGTGCGAGGGAAAATAAGTAAATTGGGTAGTCCAAAAGCATTATAGGATTAAGTTTGGAGTCAAAGAATTCAATACTAAGAAGTCAAAAAAGGTGTGAAATTGTGAGAGGGACAAGGAAGTAATAAGAAAATAAAACCTCTCACGTAATTTTTAGTCAGGTCTTTAGGTTAAATCAAATTGTATATTTAGTAACTAATATAAGAAAGGAAATATTTTAGTACCTTAAAAGAATACATAAGAAATATATGTCCAATGGGGCCTTAGGCGACTGCCTTAATGTTGACCCTCCCCTGTTTATATATATACATACATATATATATTTGTTAGTAAATCTTCATTTTTTGGTAATTATTTATTCATACCACTGTTGAAGATTTTATTGGATGCAGTTAAATGTGAATCTTCTTGATGTTTTCTTCATGGGTTGCATGAAAATAGGGAGAAAAACAGAAGTGCCAAGTTATTCACTCTGCTAGACCTCCCCTTCTAAATTTTGAGTTGCAAACAATAAACTAGAAGGCGCTTGAATCCTTTAGTCCCTTGTGCAACATTTTGGTCACCTCAATTATTTTGGAATAAATTGTCTACGATATCTGGGTTTCAAGTCGGAATAATGAAGGGACCTAGGTGCGCCATCCAAAATTTCACAAATTAAAGATTCCTAGGTCCGACCCTAACTGTAATTATATTCAGAATATCTGATCACATAACCAAGAAAGTCCACTTAGTATTGTCTTGGAAAATTATCAACCTCATTTTAAAGGTTATGAAAGAATGAACAGACTAGAGTTATCTTAATAGGTTGTGTATCTCTTTCACATTGTATTCTTTGTGGTCATTATCGTATGACTGTTATCATTTGGATAGTTTTCGGTTGTCTTTGTGTCCAATCTAGAGTTGTTTTGTGGAATCTAATTATTGAAGATTAATTTTTTTATGATTGTAGGATATAACAAATATTTGATCATTTGTGAAATTCTCAAAAGTTTTCAAAATAGTTATTTATTACAACCTTGTGCTACTTTGTGTTGATTTTGACTCAATTTATAATGCCTTATTGCGCCTTTTCTGAATATATATACCCGATTTTGTGAATATATATACCCAATTTTCTGAATAAATATACCCAATTAACAATTGAATTCTTGCATTGTTGATGCCATGGTATAATTTTAAATACTTAATTTGCTACCAAGTTTTAGGTAATTGAAACTCTTTCCATCACAGCGTTGAATTCTGAAGAAGTGAAGGGGAAAATCTTTCATTTTCTGAAGGGCCCTACAATTTGCTATATTGCTTCCCTAAATTCTTAATATTAGGCATTAGGTCCTCTTTTTCCTACCTTTCTAGTGGAGAATCGGAGGTATCAATATGTTCACTTCTTTCTAGTGTGAATTATTCTGTATGCCATTTATCTATGATGTCTCATTTTGGAACTCTCTTCGAGAATGTAATCTGATAATTCTAATATGTATAGCAAAATTCAGATGGATCTTACTTCACAAACATTTAATAGTTGTGATAAGGTTTGGTTGAGTGATTTTGTTGAGATAACTTGGCACACCTATGGATTTCCTTTTAAATGAACCCATTCACTTTTGCTTTCAAAAGCATCTGAACGCATTCTGCAATTATTGGGTTGTTGTCATTTTAGAAATCGAGATTGTTTAAATTGGGAGCGGAATTTTAGAGCTACATCATTTGATTTATTCTTTACAATTGCTGCTATACATGCACCAAATCAATTCTGAATGTAATGAAAGATCAAACAGGCTCATTTTTAGCGATGTCAATTAGTGCCTTGTCCAACCCCTATTGGGACAGGTTTGGGATCATTCTTATACAATTAGGGGCAGGTTTTGGAAGAGTCAAAAAGCCCATTCCGTCCGGATTAATAATAAATATATAGATCCTATATTCTTTTATTAGTTATAACTTTTGTTTTAAAAAACAAAATTGTTATTATAATATTAAGTGTTTGTCTATACTTGATTTTTCTACAAAATTTATCTTAATTTGTGCAATGTTGAATTGTTTTTAATAATAAACATGTATATTGGGCTCCCTTGAACTTGTCCCAACTCTGATATATGACGGGATGGGTTTGCAATGCTTTTTATTTGCAGGACGGGTTTGGGATATGAGTGTCTCGTCTCGAAACCACCCATGACATTCCTACTCATTTATAATGCTACTTAAACCAAAGTGGTTTTCTTGCATCTTCTTAGAGCCAAATTCAACCTTAGTCGTTTGTAACCTGTATGGTCCATATATGGTGTATGTTTGTATCCAATATATATTTTTATATATATATATATAATAATAATAATAATATCTGATTCATTTTTATACTTATAAAATATACTGTATATTTTATATAACATAACAATCAGTATTAGATTGATCTTGATACTAATAAACAATGGATCTGGTGGAAGAAAGTGGATCTGAAAAAGCACAGAAAAATTAAAAAAATAAAATCTATTGAGATAGGTGTGCCCTTTTGACCTACCAAAAAGAAAGTGTTTTCCCTTTTGCAAAGAGTAACTATCGTTAACTTCAAATGTGATGTCTAAATTTTCAATTATTAATAATTAAGTCGCTGATTCTTCATGAAACAGTAAAGAACTATTTTTATTCATGAGCATGACTTAGTGCAGATATCACATAAGCTAGACTGAAATGCTAATACTCAATTCTTTGTATATTTCTGCTTCTGCTAAAAAATGATTGGGAATTGCGACAGAATGGACTTCTCTTTACTGGTGGAGAGGACAAAAATATCACGGCATGGGACACAACAAGTGGAAAGGCTGCATATTGTATTGAGAATGCACATTTGGCCCGTGTAAAAGGTATTGTTGTGCTCTCTAGGAGTGATGGTGCTTCTGGTGATGATGATCCATATATAGTAGCATCTGCATCGTCAGATGGGGTCATTCGCGTTTGGGACGTCCGCATGGCTAATAAGGAGAAGCCCAGTCCATTGGCTGAGTTTAATACAGGATCAAGGCTGACATGTCTCGCTGGGTCCTCTCTGAAATGTGAGTTTGATTTTTCTCATGTGCCACCATTTCCCCCTCCCTTACTTTTCTTACTTGAAACCATCTTTAAGTTTTGCTTGGGCGTTGAACTGCATCTGTTGATTATCTTTCAGTATTTTGTCCTTTTCATTGTCCTAATTTCTTCATGTTATCTTATATTCATAGTTATAATCGGTCAGACATCTAATATAAATTTGTAATTTGTTACTGCAAGCGAGCCACTGCTACCTAGGAGTAGGGTTGCAAGTTGAGCAGGACCAACCCGAACCCGGTACCAGCCCGACCTTAGCCCGATATCGGGTCAGATCGGGCCAACCCAATCTTAACCCGACCTATGAGTGGGTTAGCTGGGTTTTTGGGTTAATCTGTTTTTTTTTTTTTTAATCTGTCTCTCCATTCATCCATTTACCTAATCAAACATTGAAAAAAAAAAAAAAAAAAATCTCATGTAGTAGAGAACCAAGAAACCCACAAAAATGGTAACATCTAAAGTGTAACCTACTGATCAAAGACCTACCTATACAAGTTTCCCCATACAAACCAATCTCAACGGATCAACTTCTACACAGCTACAATACAACCTACATATCTAAGACTACCTAATCTGTTCGCCAAAGGGCTTCAAATCAATTCAACCCACATCAACTACAATGTCTTGGTTTATGTTCTATATCTAAACACCACCACCACAAAACCCTATTTTCTCTGCCTTTACCTTCGAGAGAAAATTTTTTGAACCCAAAACTTGAAAAGATGCAGAAACTTCCCAAACCCTAAATTTTCCAAGAAACATAAGAAAAATAGATGCAAAAGAAAAGAAAAATCAAAGGGTTTTTTTAGTTTGGTTATACAATGAAGCAGATCTCCTACATTGACAACATTCTCCACACATTCACAGGCTCAGTTGATCGGCGAGAGCAGGCGGTGACGAAGAGAGACCAGGTGGCTCTGGTGACGACGGCGAGAGCAAGCGACGGCGATGGTGAGAGAAGGGGGTGATGGATTATATCACAAAAGCAACCATTAGATGGATAAAATAAAAGGTCAGGATCTAATCTGAAATTTTAAAATAAATTGAGTTAAGTAAATATAATATGTCTATTGGGTTCGGGTTAGGAACTTCAGACCGAACCAATCCGAATTGGCAAAATTACAAGCCCAAGACCGAAAAATCTCGGGCCGGGTTTGGGTTGAGTCGGGCTGAACCCACCCGACTTGCACCCCTACATAGGAAACAGAAAAATTTTGCATGGGAAAGGCAGATTGATACCATTGGGTGACTAGGCTAGTGGTGTTAGTAAATCATTTTAAATTTTGTTTCATATATTAGAAGAAGGGCTTGGAATATGAGGTGTTCAGGGATTTTTCAATTTCAAGGGGCTTTTTCATAAAAAAATTCCTTTAAAAGCGTACAAATTTTGTAGCATTGCCAAAATGTCAACGCTTTTATGTTTAGATATGCCAACAAAGGATAAAAATAGGTGGATGCAAACTTTCCAATAATTTTGTTTCATGCCCTTTTGAAGTGTGTGTTTGGTGCAATCATGAATATATCAAGCTGGCACCAAGTGAAATGACTACCTCACCTGCTTTGGACTTGAAGTGCACTGGAGTTCATTTTCCCATGGACATGAGTGCTTCTTGCTATTAAATATTATTTTCTGTTCTCTCTTTTAGCTTCCAGATTACCCCGGGTTGGAAGCATTGGTCAAAACAAAGAGCAGGATGCAGCCAAGGAGGGTTCATAGCTTTCAGATATTTGCCGAGTGAGGATGTAGGCGTAAATTATTTTAAGGTTTTTGGTTCAAATTGTACTTCGTGGAAGCAAAGTTTCTTCCTGATCTGTTAACTAAATTTTGATCTGTTAGTTCAAATTTGTCACTATTTGTAGTTTGAATATACTTTTTGGGTATATCAAGGGAAACAAACAGAAAGCCCAGGGGGAAAAAGACCATTCAGAGAACATACACTGAATCTGCTGGAGTAAAATTTTCAATCCTTTTTGCTTTTATGGAATTGATGGTGTTTCTGAGTTCAATTCTTCCCACTCTCTCCTGTATTATTAAAACAAGGTTGAGTAAAACCGCGATTTTGTATCCTAATTGAAGGTCTCAGTTGTTATATGGTGTGAGAATTTAATTTATCCATTACATTCTGTCAACCGAGCATACTCTTTGGTGCTTCAAGAACAAGGAAAGAAGACGGTTCTAAAAGAGAGTCAGAGCAAGATTACTGTTAGTAAATCACTCTGTTACCATGTTGTCTCTGTGATATACAGTGAACAGTGATCTCTATGTGACATTCGGTTATAATAGCCAATGTAGTATTGTGATTGCATTCATTTCTAAAACTATGAAAACAATGTCATCTGAAAACAGACACTGCTATGTGCCACAAGATTCCCAACATAATGTATTGTCTGAACCAGTTGGACTTGCTGGGGTGCCATTTAGGCGCGCTGGACCGAGCTCAACGAAGGGTATAAAACTGTTTGACTCGAGCAAAACTTAACCTTGTATTGATTCAATTCGTATATATATTATATATATTTCTTTCTTTCTGGTACCAGATTCAATTACTAATACTTTGGTTGGTTAGGAAAGGAAATCAAGTTTCTAGTGAGGAAGTTTTTTCAAGAAAGGTCTGGAAAATGTTATTTTCTTAGTTTGAAAAGCATGAAATAGGAAGAAAATGATTTTATCTACCAAAATTACCCTTGTAATTTGAAATACTAGAAATAAATAAATTTGTGTTACATCAGTCCCCTTTGACCCAATTATTTATATCTATTTTTAAAACAAAATAAGTAAATAATGATACTAATAATAATAAATTATTAAAAATAATAATATAATTATTTATTTTAACTTTTAAATTGTTTATTTGTGAGAAAAGTTTTAGTACTTCCAAAATACATAATAATGCATATACTTGGAAAGTTACGTGACAAATTTTCTTTCCTAAAACTTATTTTCCTTAAAAATTTTACTTTCGTTATAACCAAACTCATAAAAAAATTTTAAAAAATCATTTTTTGTTCCTTTCCTGCTACTTCCATCCAACCAAACACACCCTAATTGAAATCTAGTTGAAAATTTCCGAAGTCTATAACTAATACTAATAATCGTCTGTCATTTTCCTTCTCTTATTGTCTTGACTGTATGATAAAATATTTTAAGTGCTAAATTTCTTAAGTGATAATTAAAAATAAATAAATATATTCTTTTGTATTTTTTTTGAATTTTAGTGTTTAGTATTTAGTGATAAATGATATTTCCCTTAAAATTGCGATCTCAAATGTTGTTTATAAAAAAAATTATAACATCAAATATAAATTAAGAGTTGATTGAATATCAAGTACTCCCTCTCCCAAAATAAATGTTTATTTTTGACTGTTTTAAAATAAATATCTTATTTGAAAAGTTAAAATACTATATATTTTTTTTATTACCAATTTAAGCCTATAAAAAATAAATAATCATATCCTCTAAACCCATGTAAATAGTTTGAGGTAGTAATTCACTCACCACCAATATAATTAAAAAATATTAAATTTTATTCTCTTTAAAAATTAGGTTAAAAAAAGGGACGTAATTTTGAGATGGTCGGAGTAATTACCACTTGAACTTTTCCCTGTCCTTTCAAATTTGAAAAGGAAAATATACAATAATTAATAAAAATCTGCAAACAAGGATTGTGACTCATTTCTGTTCAATTTTGTAACAAATACGCATACCATGCAAATTAGCATCACCTGCATAGAAAGTGTTCACCGTGCGCCTGCGTTTACAGTCCAAAGTTTCCGTTACTTCACCTTTCTCCTTTTCCTTTTCCTTTTCCTTTCCCTTTCCTTTCCTTTCCTCCAACGGAAGCAACTAGTCACATGGTCTCGAATCACAAACCCTAATCACTCCATCTTCGAATCTCTCCCTCTTACATCCTCAAAGGTAAATTCATCATCTTACGTGCCTTGGTTATGTTTTTTCTGCAAAATTCGAATCTCTCCCTCTTACATGCTCAAAAGTAAATTCATCATCTGGCATGTTTTTCTGCAAAATTCAATTCGATTTCATATTGAATGTGAGAACCTATAATGCTAAATATAGAAATGTTCGTCTACACTAAATTAGTCGTGTAGTTTAAATATAGATGTAATTTCTTTGGTTCCCTCTGTTCTCTAAGCAATCAAACGGAAACTGAGATTAGAAATCCGTATTCTAGATTGTGAAACTGGCTCTGAATAGCGATTGTATGTTAATGAAATGATTCATTTGTGGCGCAGATTGAAGGCTTGGGTTTACAGGGTTAGTGTAGCTGTGGGTTCATTCTTTTGGATTGAGAATTCAGATTAGATGGATGTGGATGGTGGTAGCACCTCAACAATTGTTATAGAAGAAACTCGATCAATTCCAATTCTTTCAGGGCGACCGAAAAGTAAGTCTTTTGGGATTCATAATGTACCTTATACAAAATTAACCTGTTTTCTTCTGAAAACATATGCTTAAATTTCCTTTTGTTTTTTTGTTCTTTTTCCTTTTAAAATTTTTGTTATGATACCAAATGAGACATCATCATTTTTTATTTTGTATTTTTCATTGTTGTTGTTATAGGTTTTTGCACAAACGATAAGAATCAAACTCCTACTTGCTCCTGTTTTCAGATTCCATGCTAACACTTTGCATCACTTTGTTACAACTTCAGCACGATTATGGCTTTCTGATAAGTCGCTTTCATGACAGTGTGATCACATTATGCCTAAAGAAATCATTTTCCTCTGATTAAACTCTTGGGTAAATGCATATATAACTTCCACATGTCCAAACTCTCGTTAAAGAATAACATTTTTCCTTGTCCCTTCCCCTTTCTAAAAAGGTTTTTTATTGAAATTATAATACTATGATACGCAAAACTTTGCTAGTCTATTTGATTTTGTGTATCCTCTGAGTTTGGAATATATTCCTGATAGGTCTGATTTTGGAGATTTATTATAACTGGTATCAGGAATTTTTTTTTTTTTTTTTTTGGTGTTCTGTGGGCAGTTAAGATTAATTTTTTTGTCAGTCATAACATAAGATCATAATTGATATAACGTTTTTTTATTTTTTATTTTTTATTTTTTATTTTTTATTTTTTATTATTATTATTTTAAATCTTTTCATTATTAAAAGTTTCCTTTGCCTTTTCATTATATACCATGACTCTTCAACTGGACCAACTTCAATTGTTAGCTTGAGATCTCAAGCCACCCTAGAAGGGAGAGGTGCAAGGTTCAAGCCTCAGTTGTGACAGTTGTGATGCTAGTGCATATGATGTACTTATCAAAAGGAAAAAAGATCGAAGTCTATGGACACTATTATAGTTCTTCGTATTTTCCTGTTCAAACAAAATTCATTTTGGCATAGGTTTCTGTTGTTGATTTATAGTGGATCTTATTGGGGGCAGTTTTGCAGCTATATATCAGTTTACCCAACAAAGTCTCCCAGCTTGTAAACCTGTTCTAACACCATCATGGGTGAGTATATACATACATTCTATATCTAAAATTTTCAAAAATATGTAATGCATAAATATTTAGGGGCCTTCGTGATGTTAAATTTCTCCTTTACAGGTCATTACAACATTTTTTTTGATGGGTGCCATTTTTATTCCTGTTGGGCTTGTTTCTCTTCATGCTTCACAGAGCGTAAATTTCCAGTCTAGTTGTTTTTATTACATAATGGCTGCTTATCTAATCTTTTTCCATTCAAAAGGGGAGATATGGTTAAGTTTGACACAAAAAATTCATGTGGCATTTCATTTGTAGGTTGTGGAAATTGTGGACAGATATGATATTGAGTGTATACCGGAGTCTTTTAAAAGTAACAAGCTGGCATATATCAAAGATAATTCAATTCCGAAAAATTGTTCCCGATTCCTAAAGGTAATGCTTCTCTTTTGGTATTAACTTCATTTTTCATGTATGAGCTTCATTTTTAATATCTGTAAGTGATGGATTTGTGTTATATTTATCTTGATCATTTCTTGCTGAGCATTTAGAGGGAGACAAAAGCTGTACCTTGTGAATTTTTTCCAGAAAATATATGGCTCCAAACTTACAGAAAAGTATGTGTAATAGTTCCATGAATTGATTCTGCTTCTAAATGAAAATGATATCCAACTTCAAGTAGCTACGTTACATGGACACTTCTGAATACATTGAAGTATGCAAACTCGTCTTAATTTTCAAAGATTGAGATAAATTCTTAGTTACACGAACTCTCCTATTTACTTTTACAAACCTTTGAAGACTTGACTCAACATAAGTATAATACCAGATATGTGTCCGACACATGAACCCAAATTGGACTCTCCGATCTTTACATGACACGATTGAATAAGAAAAAGCTCAAATTTAAAAGTATAGATGAGTTTCTATCTATGAGATACATGGAAAGCCTTTTTTCTTTTACCACATCCCATTTAATTGATTAATAATTGTGTATATTCTAATAAAACAACAACATCAAACATTACAGTATAATAAAACCTATAATGTATTTGAATGTGTAGTACGTATCCACCACGCATCCCTATCCAACTTTTGGACACATATCCACATCCTAAGATTTGGAATTCAAGGAGTCCGACACTTAACACAACCCTGCACCCGATATACTTACTTGAGTCAGAGTAAAATAGGATAAATTATCTAGCATGTAGACACATAAGCTGTCCATATGGCATGCAGAAATAAATTGATAAACCCTTTATACCTTCAGTATATGTTTCAGTTAAAATCTTCTTTCAAATTATATAAAGAGAATTTCACAGGCAACAAATGATGAAGCTTTAACCTAAATTCCGTGATTAAAACATTGGACATGTCTCTTCACTACAAGTATCACTTTGACCAATTTCCTCGATCCCTTTTGGAGGCATTTATGGTACTCATGATGTTTATATGTTGAGGCAACATGAGGGTTCTAATGTTTTAGATTATTTAAACCTCAAATTCGGTAATGATGGTTTACATAGAAAATCTCTTGTTGGGGACTCTGCTTGTTTGATTTTATGCATATATATATATATATAAGATTTCATGATGGAGCTCTGTTCCTCAAAACATTCATCATTTGTATTCACGTTTATGCTTCTGGCATCTGCAACTTGATTTATAGGTGAACAAACACATGAAAGCTCCAATTTACATCTACTATCAGCTTGATAACTACTACCACAACCACCGACGGTGAGAGTTGTTTTGCTTCTTACTGTAGTGATAAATCTATTTATTTTCATAGATTTACAGTTATTTTTACATTTTTTCCTTTTATTTGAATTTTTTTTTTTAATTTTTTTTGTATTTTCATTCTCTTTGTATATTATTGTTGGCATCCTCTTATAATCAGTTTCTTGCTGATGGTTAGTGCTGCCATAAATTTATTTCTAGGAACTGTCATGTGTTTTACCCTTCATCTGATTTTAAGTGTTTTAATGATGTCTTATCTTTTTTTTCTTTTTTCTTTTTTTGTTGTGGTCCACACTTCAGAGGTTTATTGATTTTTGTTTCCTTCCTGCTAGTGTTCTATAGGAAACTTGTCCTTAGTATTTATTGATATTGATTCATCTTCTTGCTTTACTCCAGGTATGTCAAAAATAGAAGTGATCAGCAGCTCTTGCATGGTTTGAAGTACAATGACACAAGTTCCTGTAGACCTGAAGAATTGAACAACGGGCTCCCGGTTGTACCTTGTGGTTTGATTGCATGGAGTTTGTTTAATGACACGTTTACCTTCTCTCGTGGAACAGAGGAATTAAAGGTTAACAGGAAGAACATTGCATGGAAGAGTGACCGAGATCACAAATTTGGGAAGCGAGTTTATCCCTTCAATTTCCAAAATGGGACCTTGGTTGGCGGTGGGAATCTTAATCCAAGTATTCCTGTGAGTATTTACAGTATTTTTAATAACTAATTTATTCTTTCTGATCTTCTATATCATTATATCCTTAAAGGCAAGATACCTGTATTCTTGATTGTGATAGTACTCATATTGACTTCTTCTTTCTGTATCTCAGCATTATATCTCGAGTCATACAAAAATAAAATTTGAAGCTTGTAAATTGGCTTCAGCTGTTTATTTAAATCATTATAAATGAAAATGGTTCCAATGTAGCATACAGGGTCAAAGGCATATGTTCTGCAGAGATTTCCCATCATATAGTGAACAAGAATTAGTTGCAGCATGATGGGAAGACAAGGAAGTTATCATCCTTAAATGCTTAGAAACATGGTAGCGTACACTTTGGAGTGAAACCAAGTAATGCATGTGAGGGTGAAGTGCAACACTATAACAGAAGTCTAGATAAATTAATTTCGCATGTAACTGGGTTGTGCCCCTTTCGTTATGGCACTTGTTCAAATAAATTACTTATCTGGAAAATAAAAGAAAATAATGGGTACCACGTGTCTCTCCTTCCAAAATCAATCCCCAAGTCTTCTAGTCTAGCTAGGGGTGGCAATTCGTGTTCGTGGGTCGTGTTCATGTCGTGTCGATGTAAGGGTATTATACTAAATTGGTAAAACCAAACCCAACCCATTTAATAATCGTGTCAAAAATCTCAACACTAACCCAACCCGTTTATTAAACAACTAAACGTGTTAACCCATTTAATGACCTGTTTATCAAAACGAGACATTTAATATTTAATCAAATACTAAATAATAGAAAAAATTATCATAATTAACCTAAATATTCAAAATAAAAAGAAAAATCGTAAGGCATAAACAAGGTTTATATTGAAATGACTTAACTATCCATCGTAATTGGGTTTAAACAGGTAACATATTACATAGGTCATAATCACAATTATAACATGTTGAGTTAAATGGGTTATAAACGGGTTACACAGGTTGAATTTCTCAACCCTAACCCAACACGGTTAAGTAAACGAGTTAATCGTGTCGACCCTTTTATGACCCAAACCCGTTAATGCCAAACCCAAACCCTTTTAACTCGTGTCGGATTCGTGTCGTGTCGTAATTTGTCACCCCTAAGTCTAGCACAATATTGGAAGAATGTTGCTCCTCAGTGGGTTCCAATTCCTACAAATGTGCCCTGAACTGAAGTGGCAGTTTTTACTTCTCGTTGTATTGATACACTTCTCTCTTTTAACATTTCCATGGCCCAAACTTGAGTTCTAACAATTTATTCCCCTTTTGTCTCCCCCTCCCCCAACACGATTTGGTGGTTTGGAATGGCATTATATCATAGTTAAGCGATCAAGAGGATCTTATTGTATGGATGCGTACTGCTGCTCTCCCTACCTTCCGTAAGTTGTATGGAAGAATTGAAGAGGATCTAGATGCTGATGATGTTGTTGTAGTACATCTCTTGAACAACTACAACACTTACAGTTTTGGTGGGAAGAAAAAGCTTGTTCTTTCAACATCTGGTTGGTTGGGAGGAAAGAATAACTTCCTTGGGATGGCCTACATTTTTGTTGGTTCTTCCTCTATATTCATCTCCGTAGTCTTCATATTGCTTCATGTGAGGAATCCAAGGTAAAATCTCATATATGCCCAATATAACTGCTTATATCTCTGCATCTTCATCAAGTGTTACATCTGGGAAATGAATACCGTGAATCTACAAGTAAAGATACACGCTATTAATGAATCTTTAGAACTTAATCACACATTTTTTTTCCTTGTACAGGAAGACACTAGTGGATTAATGTTTGCAATCATTCATCTTTAGAATTAGCCGGAAATATATTTTCTCCCGACATATAATTAAAGAGGACTTTTTTTCTTCCAATGATGCTCTCTTTGAATTTGTTGAAATTTAGTTATAAGCAATCAATAATATGTTTTATGGTTTTAGTGCTTTCACCTTACCATGATTCATGAAATATAGATTTTCTTGGATGTACCTAATTAGCCTGCACACAAGGATGAGAAGCAGCATGTTTTTTCCCTAAGGAGAGTCTAATTAATGAATCACAATATAAGTTCATCTTACTTGTCAAAAAATACATATATAAGTTCATCTTTTAGCAAATGTGACATTTGCATTTTGATATATATTGCTGTCTTAAGTTGCTTTGTTTCTTCTCAGTGATGAATATTTGGGATGCATAATTCTTCACTGTTGGAAACGATTAATATCTATGTAAATAGAAGTTTATGCATTGTCTAGAGTGATCGATCTTTCAAAGTATATCTACCATTCTAATCATTAATTTGTCAATCACGTACTAAATCATTCCAAGCAGCTATTAATGTTATCTTACATTCTTTCGGTTTACAGGCCTTACGGTGACACAACCATTATAGCTTGGAACTGGAAAGGCATTTCTACTTGAAAGGTGATGTTGCATCTTTAGTAATTTGAGTAACTATTACTTATTATTTATCTTATTATAAATTTCAAACTTTCAAGTAACTACAGTATTTCTTGCAAAGGGTATGAAAGAATTTATTGTTAATGTAAGTGATATTATGGACTAATGTGTCACTTATTAGCGGACCTTGACATGGTTATTCAATGTAGTTTATGTATGTCAGATTATCATTCTGTTATGTCCGGGAATATTGGCTTTATATACCAATATATATTGACAGATCTGTACCTTATTGATGGACCTTTCGTATAATATGGCATCTGAAAATAATAATAATAATAATAATAGGACTTTGGTCATCTCTTCCCTTTCCCTTTTTGTGATTTTTATAGGATGATTAGGATATCTACCAAAATGTTAATAATTTAAAAAACCCTTGCCCTTCTAGGAGAATTAGGAGGAGAAAAAAGGAGTGAGGGAGGGAAAGAAGGTCATTAACTTAAATACAGAATTAAAGTACAAGACTATGGCTTATAACTTTTTCATATATCCTTTGGCGTGGCAAAAAAAACAAAAAAAAAAGTACTTTTTGTCCTTGAGAAGCAGTATCAAGTACCTAAGTAATTTATTATGAAATAACAAGGTTATTATTAGCAATATTCTCATTTTTTTTTTTTTTCCTTTTTTTATCCATGGACTAATAAAGGGCAAGCATGATATTTTGGAGCCACTAGCCGGGTATGGCAGAATTTTGAATTTGGTTTAGGGGGAGTGCTGTCAAGGCTTATTTTGTCATTATAATACAAATTATTTTATAGATATTGTGATTAGTTTTCTATTTTGTTGTCTGATATTATTTATATAGCTAATAGTACATGTTGATGTGTTCCAGAATCTTATACTTGTATAAATAAATCGCCATAATTATATGGAACATAGAACTTGAGTTGAACTCACACATTTTGTTGTTTTAAATGAATGATAATATTGCATTACTCGGAATTTTAAAAATACATATTCTATTACTATTGATAGAGACTAAAAATTCTCTGACAGATCTACATGAATTATTGTGCATCATGCTTGCATGACCCCCACATTGTAGGAATTAATAAGAAAACTTTTTTAGCATTCCATATTTCTCATAAGAATGTTCTATAAGGTTCTTTAACTAGTAACATCACTACACTTGTAGTGGTCTAAATGTTTAATAGTCTCCAGTAATATTGATCAAAAATACTACATCAGAGAAAGTAAATACAAAGAAAGCCATTGATGGGATTGAAATCTCAAGGATACCGGCAACATATTTGTGAAAGATAGAGAATAGAGTTTCAAACCTACACAGTTGAGAATTAAATCCCAAGGGTACCAGCAACATATTTGTGAAAGATAGAGAATATAGTTTTAAATTGTTTAGTTAGAGTCTATGAAAATGCTAAAAAAGTCACGAGGGGACATGACGAAAAGCCCATTATAAGTAAATTTATTCAATAAAATATGTTAATTGATAATTTTTTTTTTCTTTTGACAGATGACTCGAACGATGTAATTACTCTCAATTTCCTCCCTCGGACACCCCACAGAATTTTCAATCTCAATCTGATTGATTAACTACTTGAACTTGTTCCATTGATGTTACCTTATTTTGGCATAAATAATTCGAGTAGGGATAATCTTTCTGTTCTTTTTTTCCCCGGAATGTGTCTTGGTGAAACAGATTCTTTTTGCATCAACTCTTAGATGAATATACTGAGCATTCAGTGTGTGGGAAATATTAAGGACATCCCATCTTACCTCCCATCTTGTTAGAATGTTGGAGCACTCTGCCACCAATTTATAAATAAGAGGATTAAATGTTGTTGGAAATTTGATCTTGAATTTTTGTAGTGGCCGACATACTCTATTTTTGTTTTTTGTAATTTGTTCATGTCTACATGTTGTAAATTTTATAAAATTCTACGCCTTGTAAATTTATAGTTGAGAGCTTAATTTAGCACTGGAAACATTATGGAATTTGCAAATATTGAATTCATTATCAGTTTTATACATGAATACTATTGTTTAAAGCTTCAGTGTCTCAATTTTCTGTAACTTCAATTTTATTAAAATAGTTGGTTTTCTAGTGTAATTCGCTAATATTAAATTCACTGGATTTGTGCTTGGAAAAATTGATTGATTTTTGTCAAAATCTTATTGGAAAAACAGAGGCATCAACACTGAGCTCCTTGAAATGCTTTGAGTCGCCCAGGCAGTTTAATTCTCAAGTTTGTAAATTCCGAGTTGTATACATCCCACAATGTGTTTGACGATGTATTTACATAGTGCTTTCCTGTAAACCAGAAAGAGAAATACCATGCAGAGAGAGAATCCCTACACCAGATGGATCTCCGGAATAGCTTTCAAGTTGCTTAACATTTCTACTGTGAAAGTAGCTTCGGCAAGACTGGCAAATGGCCACTATGCAGATTTGAACCCCCACCCTTCACATTTGAAGGTGTTTCTTTTTAAAAAAAAAAATTTGAAATGTGAATATGCCAGATATTGTAGTACAGTCCTAAAGAAGGGATGAAACTGGGGACCCAATTTTTATTTTTTATTTTTTTATTTTTGACAGATGGATTTGAACGATGTAATTACTCATTCAGAGGAAGAGACTGCCTCTAAACATGATTGTTAACTACTTCAACTTGTTCCGTTGATGGTTGCCTTCTTCTGGCATAAATAATTCAAGGAGTAGGGATCTGATCTTTCAGTGTTGACTTTAACCAGAAAGTGTTAAATAACAATTATATTCATTGTACTTTTATTATTGTTTTCCATTACAATATATGGATAAAATTGCAATTTTAAGCTTTGTAAGGGTAAAATTGAGTTTTAAGTAAATTTTAAGCATGGTTCTGCGTCATATATTAATTATACATAGAGATGAGAGGAGTAATTAGCGTTGAATGCTCTCTCTGTGGGATGTGCAACCACCCCTAAATCAGTTGGTTGTTAGGGTTTTATTCACTGTTTATAGTATGTGACAATTGTTCTGAAACTAGTTCGCAGCTTGTAAACTGAATATCGACAGCATAGGCAACTATATCGTTAAAATGAGGAAGAAGGTGAGTTCAAAAATTGACTGTTTTTAGGAAAAAGTTAATTATTGTGACGATTTTTTATTTTTCTAGTTCAAATTTCACTTGTAACTATCGAGCTTTTAACTCCACTGGTATCAACTCCTCTTCCCATATGGCCATATAAGAGGTTGAGGTTTGAGTCCTAACAACTAACAACGGTTGTATTTGTTTAATAAAACGGAAAATTAAGTAGTGTAATTTTTAAAGTTGAATTTTATAAGTGATGAAGTTTTTTAAGTGATAATTAAACATTGAGTTATCAACCAACACCTTACATGCAAGAAGAAATTTCATTGCTTACATACGGAGCAAATATTAAATGCACTGGGTTGTTCCAGCGGAGAAAAAGTATGATGCTAAGAAGATCATACTGAAAGTAGAAGATATTAAATTCTGTTCATAATCTGACAAACCAGAAAATCTATGTCCAAACTAGCGAGGAACAAAAAAAATCTACCAACATAAACCATGACTTTAGCATAAATACTGAATTTTGTAATTAAGCACACTGGCACTTTTGGCTGTATGATGGCAAAGGCTTTGGCACTTCTAAGAAACACATGTACTCTGCGGATAGAAGTGACACCGATGAGCCACTACTACTAGATGTCTCCATGAATTCATCTTCAGGTTCTTCTTCGTATATTGTTTCGAGGGTTACACGAACATGGAGCCTAGAGGGGACGAGAAAGCGAGCCTGTGCAACTGCTGAGAATGGAGTCATGGGTGAGGCCTCAGAAAGATGAGTCTTGGGTGGCTCAAGAGTTGCTTGGAGGGAGAGACTCAGAAAATTTGAAGGTAAATGAATATCTCCCATTCCTTGATATGGATGCAATGCCAGGCAAACTTGGCTCTGGTCAAGAATGTAGAGGAGGGGTTGGGTTGGGTTGGCCAATATGTGTTACGCATTGCTCTATATATATATAAATTGAAGTAAAATCACCTTGGGTTTTAACCTAAATGTTATAAGCTCCCATCTTTATTGGAGAAATTGTGCGTTTAAGTTTAATGAGGGTAAAAAAAATTGGCAAACTTAAAATGACAATAATGCCACTTTTTTCACCACTCTCATTTATTAATTTAAATGACAAGAAGATTTTATATTTGCCTCTTAGATTATGAGTGGTCTCATAGGCGTATCATCCCAAATTGAAAGCAACAGCTACCTGTAAATCAAATACGGTCTAGTACACATGATAAAGGGCGACAAGTTATTATTTATTAAACTTATTAGTCAAAAAACTTGTACAACCAATTAAGGGTATGTTAGGGAACTAAAAATCGAGCAATAAAGTCCATGTTTGGCATCTTGGCAGCAGCCACTAGCCAGCAGGATTGAAAGGGAAGATGAATGTATTGCTTTATGAATTCAATGTGGTTTTTGGTGTTATTATTTGAGTCTCTTTTTGGTTACACTTTTTGGTAGGTCATCCCAACTGGATCAACGAACCTTTGACATTAACGGGATATTCTCAAACAGCCTTTTCGATTTAATTACTCATTACCCTTGTTAGCACGGCACAAGTGATTATGGTATGTCATACATGTGTAAGATGAAAATCATTAGTCTACATATAATCGTCATTCTTATCTTAATTCTGTATAAATAGTGTCATGTCATTGTTTGTTTAATTGAATAGATGAATCACACCAAAATCACCAACCCTTAGCTATGATGATTAACACCACCATGTGATGGATCCCATTCGATTAGTGATGCGTCCCGCATCACGTGGTATTGTTAATCATCACCGTTGATTGTGGACGCACAGTACTCTTATGCAACACTCTCTCTACTATTATTCTTTTAGCTAGATATTATAACAAGTGGTGAGACTAAACCCTAAAAGGGTGGCAAATGCGCGGTGATACCAATGGCATTAATGGCGAAGTGTTGCAAACAGGACTAAGTAGGTGGTGGGCTGATTTGATTGTATTAGGGTTTTGGCCAATGTTTGTGGATTAAGAGGAGGGGGACAAGATAAATGTTTGTACTTTGTACTTTTGTAGGGTGAGAATGGAGGAGACGGCAAAATGGTGGACTTGTTAGTGAAGCCGGCGGCAATTAGCACCAGGAAGATTAGGATTCAAATTTTGTTGGTTAAAACTTTGATTTTATTAGGCATTGATCTCTACTATATACAAGTTTGGTGTGCAAAATAAAATGAAATGTTCTTTCCTACTTTTTTCTAGTCATTATCTCTTCACTGTCTAATACTAAGTTACTAACCAATAAGTTTAATCTACAACCATAAACTTTACGGAGGAAGTTTTCATGCTAAAATTCGAAAATTAGAAATCGCATATATATTTGCATCATTCAACATTAGTACGAATGTAAAATTTCATTTTAATTCTTCTTTTCTTCCACATTGGAGACACATATAAACATTTTAATGCTTTTAAGACCTGTGCATATATATCTAGGGATGGCAACGGGATAGAATTGGCTAAATTTTACTCCACCTCGTTACAAAATTCGTCATACTAACTCCACTCCTATTTCGGGATGGATTTGTAATTGGTATACCAACTTCGCTCCTATTCTGACAAACAAAATATCAACTCCACCTCGCGTACTGTAATACCCCTACTTTAAAAAGGGATAAAATTGGAATTTAAATGTTATTTTATGTGCATTTTTATTTTATTTATTAATTTTATGAATAAATGTTTATTTGTGTGTATTAATTGATTTATTTGTTAATTATTTATTTGCGTTTATTATTTTTGTTTATTTGTCTTAGTTGAATTATTTAACATTATTTGCATTAATTGACTTAATTGGATTATTTGATTTAATTGATTTATTATTGTTTATTTTAATTAAGGGTGTAATTCTTTATTTGTTGGTTTATTTTAATTTCTTGTTTTATTTATTTTATGTGTTTTAAGTGATTCGTTGCTTCCTTATTTGATTTAATTAATGGGTTTAAATTAATTGTTTATTAAGTATTTAATTTTTGAACAGGGTAATTATGTCATTCCCATTAACTAGGGTTTTAGATACGTGTTAGTTAGGGTTTTTGGAGCCGTCTCATAAGCATCTGATATCTAACTAAACTCGGATTAAGTTTAGGGCTTTATCTCAATGTGACAAGGATTAGGGTTTTAGTATTTAGTTTATAAATACTCCATTATGCGTTAAGCTAGGGTTTTACGATATATCACATAGCATATACACGTAGAGGGTTCTGCAAAACACAGAGAGATGCAGAGTAAGGGTTGAGATAACAGAGCAAATTGTGAGTTCTCGACTGAGGTTTCAAAGCCAAACCTAGGAGAAGGGAAACACAGAAGTACTAGGAGGCTAAGCAGTATTTTCAGTGTGGCCAGAACAGAGGGAAGCAGACCAACTATTGCAAAGGCAAGTTCTATCTTCCTCTTTCCCTTTGAGCCGTGTTCTGTGCACCTAGATGATCTCTAGGGAATAACTAATCAATGATTGAAACCTACATGTTTATTATATGCTTGGGTGATAGTCTGTTTGTTTTAAAATCCAATATATTTACAGTTCGTGTATATTTGTTTCAGTATCCTGTACGTCAAGTATATTGATTCTGTTGTAAATTTAGTCTCTGTATGTGATTGCAACTTTTGTAAACACAGTATAGGAACACTACTGGGGTTATACAAAGCTTATAGGGATGCTATTATTCTATTTTAAATACGTGTTGCAATCCGTTCTGCTTCAATTTGCATATGGTTCCAGTGTTCATACTAACAGCTTGTTAAGTTGGGTAGCAAACTTAAGCTTTGTAATTGACTTAAATTGCTATAATCAAACCTTGGGGATGCTATCAGGAGGGTGTTAGATCCTTTAGGTCAGTTTAAGAAACAAGCAGAGGGGTAGGAATTGATCGGAGAAGGAGCAGATTGACGAAAACGAAGCAGAGACTGAACTGGAGGCTCTCAAGAGGGAGAGAGCCGGCTCTAGGAAGTCAAGAGCCGGCTCCCCTTCAGCAAGAGCCGGCTCCTAGGGGATTGGAGCCGGCTCCAATAGGGGAAGAGCCGGCTCCTCCATTCCAAGAGCCGGCTCCAATTGGTTTTTACGTCCAGAAAGTGGTTTTAGGGCTCTGTTTGGTGTTTGGAGCACTGTTTGGGCTTCTGAGTGATTCTAATGAACTGTAGGGACTTAACAGAGGATCTAAGTAGTTAATTTTAAGTGTTATTAAACTTAATGTTGCATGGTTTAAGTCTTTAAGACAAAGGATGAAGCAGTGTAAAAATATACCACGGTGTATGCTACTAACAGAGAAAGGAACTAAATGGCTTGATTAAATTTTAGAAATTTAATAAGACTACACGGGGGATTAAATAGTTAATTTTTGGGTGTTATTAAGACCCTAAATTAATTTAAGGTTAATTCTAAATTAACGGATCAAACTGTATAACACTTATGTACAATTGTATACGGTTGGTGGATGGATGAAGTTTTAAATGCTTAAGCTTATTTTTAGGCATTCGAGTGGGATGTAATATATTTATAAAATGGTCTTAAATATATTATAGGGTCATTGATGTGTTAGATGTAATCTATGCAGGCTCTGGAAGTTAGTTGTTGATTTATTAAATCATCTCCTGCAACTATATGGTTAATTGTTTGGATTTAAGTTGCTGAAACTTTGAAAAATCTTCAGTAATTAATTG